CTAACATTGATGCCCCTCAATCACTCACCTACACGCCGCTATTTATCAAACCCGTGAGTACTGCATCGGCCTATTCCCAGGTCCAAATAGTTGCATTGTATAATCATTTTCAATACTCGTCCGTATTACTTTTAAGCTATGAAACACGAACACATCTAAAAATGAGCCAAATTTGTGTTGTGTCGAGTACAATAACATGGTAGAGACTAATAAGAGTAATTCTATATGTAATCGGGACGGTTGTAGTGGTACCCTGCCCCCGCCCCCCAATTAGGCCAGTTTTTTTTTCTTTCAATAATTAATTACCAAAAAGGTAATTTATAAGTTGATCAAATAATATAATATTAATTTAATATATATTTTATTTAATCATCAAATAATAAAAATAAATCACGTGTCCAAATTATATGGGTCACAAATATAAAAAAATATCTCACAAATATAAAAAAATATCTTACGTAACAACCTCCACGTATATCCCGTAATCAATTTCATTATTTGATTTAAAATTCAACCATGCAACCATAATGGTTATTCACGTACATCCTTTCTCTTCCATATATATCCAATGCTGAACGTAATATATTTTTTTGCATCAATCTTGATAAATAAAAGAAAAAACAGAACTTTGACTGAAATAAAGTGGGAATGGAATGGGAATAGAATGAAAATGGAATTCATTTACATTCCCATGTTTGGTTGCACAGAAAAACATCCTATTTTTGTAAAAAAAACACACACACACACACATACATATATATATATATATGTAGCCGACATTTTATTAAATGCTTTATTTATTTATTTATTTATTATTATTATTTTTAAAGTGGGAATGGAACGGTCATTCCTTTAGTTAGAAAGTAGAATGAATTAGTGGGATTCACCATTCTCGGAGAATGGGCAAGAATCATCATTCTAACTTTAAAGTAAATTACCAAACTAAAGAATGAAAACAAAAACATTTCATTCCCACTTCATTTGATTCCATTCACTCACACCAAACATGACCTCAGTGAATCACATGTATTTTTTGTTTTTTTGATTTTTATTTAGTTTTTGTGCTATTCTTTTTAACTCGTCCACTTCATTGGAGAATTTAAAGACACAAAAATCTCCTTTCAATCAGCCTTTTATTACCCCTCACATCTTCATGACATTAAATTGTTGGGAGTTTCTTTTAGATAAAATAACCAATCAAACATAGCTTCCATTCCTCAATTCCTTTGTTGAATTTGTGTTCATAATTGGTGCCTTAGAATTTAATTTTGAGATGAATTAAGTTAAAGTTTGAACTAAATTTTTTTCAATGTTTTTAATTTAGGAGTATGGTAATACTTTATGAGAGATTTTCTACCAAAATAACTAAATATGCCGAAGTGACATTAGGCTTTGGACAGGCCAGAAGAAAACTGGTAAAACTTACCTACCAAAAAAAATTGGTAAAACTTGCTCAGAATTAAGGATTGTTCAACTTTATACAAGTTTCCATAGAAATAGAACTAAATTTTTTGAAGTGAAAAATCCTATTTTTGCTTAATTTTTTCTTGAAACTTTTCTTTAAGGGTTAGTTTGGTTAGCGTGAAATAGCAAGAAAGAAAAAGAAAATTTTAAAAAAGTAATATTTTCGCAAGTAGTTAATTTTCCTGAAAATGTTTCCTCCAAAAAATACCGAAAAATTCTAGTATAATTATATTTTGATTCCCTATTATGCCCTTATTAATTGTTTATTCATTCGTCTCTTTCTTCATAGATATATTAGAATTCTGTTATTAGATTATGATTCTTAAAATTAGAACTTTTTTCCACTCACAAAAGAAGTGAATTAATAGGAGAGTCCTAATATATATTGCAACCTTAAAATAAAAAATTAAAATTAAAAAAAATTAAAAAACTATTCAATTACCAAATTTGTATTTGGACATATATATATATATATATATATATATATATATATATATATAACCCAATCTTATATACTTTTTTATGCTATGTATATTATTTATATTAAATTAGTAAGGGTAGTTTTGGTATATAAAATTATTTTCTTTTCACTTTTCTGCCATCTAAACTCATGAAACAATATTTTCTCACAATTTTTTTTAAAAAAGTTCATACTAACCAAATGCATAATAGAAACTAAATTTTTTTTTCATTTACTTTACTCTCTTTTCCTTTTACTTTCCACTATCAAATTTCGGCTAACCAAACAGACCCTGAGATGCAAAAAGAAAGTGCTGTGTTAATGTAAAATTTAAAATTTAAAATTATTCAAATCAAACGTGCTATTAGGACGTAATCTAGTGATAGTGTATCATGACTCTCGTGCACCAGGCATCACGCCGGAACCAAGCACAAGAATTTTTATGATATCTCGAAGGTAACGTATTTTAGGACTTTTTAATTATTGAATTATTCATCAGATGTCCCTCATCGAAGTATTCAAGAATTTTATAAAAGTATATATCTTTTCACTTATTATTATTATTTTATTAGAGTATATATCTAAATACTCTTATAAAATTCTTTTCAGTTATTATTATTATTTGATTTTCTTTTTTTATGTTTCTAGACTCAATTTATTAACACATTAAAAAATAATAATAATAAAATAAAATAACCTCCTTTGAGATTCTTGTCTTAGGCTCAATTTTGTTTCTAGGAAATAATGTTCGGTATATAATCAATTCAACAAAAAGAGAAATCCATGTAAATTATAACGATCAACAAATTGAATCACCTGAATATTGTTCAAAACCTTATATTTAAAATAAACTGAACTAAAAAAACAAAAGATTTTAAGTTCAATTCTTCTAAGAAAATCTATGCCATAATGTACACAACCAACAATCCTAATTTCTCAAAGAAAAAACAAAACCTTGATCTCTAACCACGTACTCAAGTGATTAGACCTAACTTTTCTTGGAAAATAAGGAAGTAAACATAATGAAAGGAGTCTCTAATCAAACAAGCTGAACATCATCTCATCATCACTCTCTTCCTTGGCTTCTTCCTGCAATATTGGGCGGGGCAAAAAAATATTGGTCAATAAATTAATTATAATTGATCTATAATAGTACCAATCACTAAAGTAAATAGGATAAATAAGTAAAAAAAATTATGTATACCTTTTTCTCATTAACTGCGGGAGCGTCAGGGGTGGCAGCGGCACCACCTGCCGGAGTAGCAACTGTGGCGACGGCAGCACCACCCCCACCAGAGCCAACGTTCATTATGAGGTCATCAATATTCCTCTTCTCCAAAAGCTTTGCAAAGAGACTTGGCCAGTACGACTCCACTTTCACGTTTGCTGCTTTTGCCAATGTAGCAATCTTCTCGGCCTGCCAATGCATGTCACAGCTGAATATATATATATATATAGAAAGAGAAGTGCAATATATATATATATATATAAAGATTTATACATATAATGTTTTTTTTTTTTTTTTTTTGTAAGCTTCTTTTTATAATTTAAGCCTAAACCTGTCACATCCAAATTGAACCCAATATCTAATGGGAAGAAATAAACAATAATATTGAATATAACTTGATACTATTGAATATTTATTATTTTTATTAAAATATTCCAAACATATGTACATGTTTATGTATCAAAATAAAAATAAAAAAATAGAAAGAGCAGCACCAACAAAAAAAAAAAAAAAATGTAGATGAAACCAACAGATCAATAGAGATAATATCGAGACTTACAGTGATTGAGAGGCCGTCATCATGAAGGATCAGAGAAGCATAGGTACAAGCAAGCTCGCTCGCAGACATCTTTCGCAGACAATTATATATATATATATGAGAGAAAAATCTAGAGAGAGGCGAAGGCAACCAACAAAAGCTTTGTGCGTATGGAGCATAAGCTCTCACGGCTTTTTATAAATTTTGTGTTTGCTATGTTTCCTAATTGGTTCACATATCTTACAGGCAAACCCTAAATTAATTAGGTTTTATGGGAATTTTAGACTGGAGATGGAAGTTTATGAATCATATATATTTCCTTTAATTAATAGGAGTTATATTTAATTTTAAAAAGTTGCCATATCTTTTCTAAAAAATAAATTTGACTTTATGTATCAAAAACTGTTTTGAACTGGTATGATTCTAACATGCACAACTAACAATAATCTTTTTCTGTTTATTTATTTATTTACAAATCACTTTTATTTAATATTAATAATTAGTAATATATAATAATAATAATAATTATTATTATTATTATTTTACTATTGATAGCTATAGATAAATTAAGACAAGGACACATAATTTAGTATCCCTTTGGGTTTGTTGTTGAACCGCACGTCTCACAGGTCTATCAATCTAGGATGGTACATTCGAACACATTTGAGCTGAGCGCTTAGTGTGGCACCCAATCAAGGATGGGTCTAGCTATCAACTATAACGGATAAATGTTAGACTACTACCTAACCCATTTTATTTCTCATCCGGATCTATATCCTCGACATTGTGTTTATTAAACCGGCTTAACTAATTTTTTTATAATTTTTCATTCATTATAAAAGAGGGAGTATGCCTATCTATATAAATAATGTAATAAAACAAATTCAATTAATAGATATGGTGACCTTTGTAATAAAATTATAATAATTAATATTAAGTCAAATGTATAAATAACATAATAAATTAGCATAAATTTTATTTAAATTCTTAATCCCCGTTAAAAATTCATATAAAAATAATGTGTCGTTACAGCAATTTTTTAAAACATAACCATTCTCTAGGTTATGGTAAAGCTACAAACATGAGGTTGAATAAATTACTTAACGCCTCAAAAGTCTTTTTCAACCTTTTTTTTTTTTTTCCCTAATAAAGGGAAACACGAACACAATCAGAGAACTTGACTCTCTACCAACTAAGCCACCGGATAGAGCATCTAGTTCGGTAGAGCTATTTCCTTAGTTCATGTACATATATTTTAATTAATTTTTTGTTTTTTTTGTTAGCTCGAACTCAACCACAATATATTCAAGTTGCAGAAAAATAGACCCATCAATTCAAAAGGAATCCCAACATATATTCAATGACAAACAACTTAACATCTCTTCCATGCAACAAAAATGCACATAAACCATGCACATAGTGAGTGCTGTTAATAATGTCAGATTGAGTATTTTCACAGGGTCCTTGAACTTCAAGATGGTTGTCATCTGGCCATATCAAGTTCTAAAAAAACAAAACATGTTCCGGTAATTCGACCGCTAAGACATGCTCCAACCTGTCCCAAGCAGGCAACGAAAACTTCCCAATTATATTGTGAAGAGTCAAGCACTATCCGATCGCACCTGATAAGAAATCAAACATCAATAAGAATCCAGAAATTTTCATCCAAAACTTCAAAAAGTAAGCAAGCTTAAACTACTACAAAGTGGTAAATCTGTTGCTAGACTTTTGGTCACCATTCTAACTTGACTACAAAACACACCCTTAAATTCCTCCAGTTTTGTTAGTCTTATATCCTATTAATTGTAGCAGCATACCCTTCTTTTATAGTTTGTAGTTAAGTAGACAGGATCCATCACCGATCTGCAGACCATATTGTTTCAATTATTTCCCATACATTCAAATTCAAAAAAAGTTTATACCTGTCAATGAGATGCTGACCGTGACCTGGATTTCAGTCTGCATATTTTCATTAATGGAAAACCAAAATGTTGATAGAACTAAGAAATAGAAACCAGAAGGCAAAACATAAACATGACGAATACAACCAATCCCCAACTACCTGGACCGCTTGACAGGTGATGCAGATCTAGATTTTGATGGCGACCTGCAAACAGAACCTTCTAATGATTTGCTGCAGAAGAAAAACAACCAGTGAAAATCTCAGGCATGTATATGTCCACGACTCTCGTAGAGAAATATAGCAATTCATACCTCCTATTCCTTCTCAAACTTCTGCTTCTACTTCGGCTCCTACTTCGGCTTCTGGATGGACTGCGCTCGTATCTCTTCACCTACCATTCACGTACCAACAAACAACAGAGCAAACATATCAAATAGGAACATTACACTAAAAACAACACTACTTGCATGCAAAAATTAATGTTATGATCCCACACCCTCCAATATTACTCAAGAAACACTACAAGCATATTTGAAAAAGAACAGGCAGGCTGAAGGTAAGCAAGTTTTGTTTCATCTATAAATATTACAAGAATTGTATTTTAAACGCTAGAGAATGCCTGAAAAGAGTCATCCTAAAGGAGAGTACATAATTTGAATACATGCAGAGAACTATAAAAAGTAATTCAAATAATCATAGAAGCAAAGAGAATGAAAAAATAAATAAACATTTGCATCCAAAAAAGAATAACTGAACATTACCCGAACGTAAGTTCTTGTCCATGGATTTTTAAATTCGGTGTCATCAAGTTTCCGAATCTGAGTAGCACAAGAACACATGAGCTGCTGAATTGGACGAATAACAAACAGAATGGTAACAATTATACAGCAAGGAGTAGATTCTATGCATAACTTACAGCATATTTCATGTCTTCATAATTAGTATAATCAACCAGACCAAAGGTTCCTGAATACACAAGCCCACATTCTTACTACAGCTGTCATCCCAATTTTTCACAAGAAACAATATTGACAGCACTTCACAAAAACAAAATGGCATCACTGCATCTCTAAATAAGAGATTATTAGATAATAGATATTGATTACAGTACATGTACTGTAGAGCTATCAGGGACAGGAGTAACATTGTAGAAGACTCGATATGCAAATGGCATGTATTGAGCATTGATCACGAGTACACCAGCATTTAGAAAGGTAAGGCATATATAATTGAGTATTGATCACATAACTACATCCTCCTACTATCACAGTTCAGCCATACAAAAATCTAATTTACGAGATTAGATTGTAAAGCAGAATTATATTTCCAACAAATACAAGGTGTTGGTACTTTTTGCTGACCACAGATTATGGTATCCGACATTTTAAACCTCACACCAACTGTACATATTGAAAGTTGAAACTACAGAATCCACAGTTGCTTGTACAACTGCATATGTTCTGTAACATGCAATAGTTCAGTTACTAAACTATAGTTCATTTAACCTTGCTATGGCAAGCAAACCATACATTCAGGCTCAATTCATGGACCTGTCTTTCAGTGGCATCAAAATGCCACGAATGGTTTGTATTCTTTGGATCATTAACTTTGTTTGACGGTTTGACCCAGTCAAGGTAAAATCAAATTTCACCTTCTCTAGGACAATCTACCCATTTACTCAAAACAATACCTTCAGGTCATGACAAAACAAATTTTGATGCTTTCTCATAATCCCTTTGGCCTAATCATCAACATAATAAATAGGTAGTAGAATTCATGGAAAATGATTAAACTTGAAAGCTTAATCATTCTTCTTCAAGAGACAAAATCCTACCAAGTTCTACAAGTGCAATTTTTTTTTTTTTCTTTTCTGTTTTACAAGTATTTTCTCAATGTTATTTTCTTTAACGAGATATACATGTAATAATATCACCTTATCCATTATGATCCTTGAACTCTCTTATCCTTAACTAAAATTTAATATAATCCTTGATTGTTTCAGTCCTTTATCATTGAAATTCTCTAAAAATATCTATCAACCAAAAATGGACGTTTCCTAACCAGTGCACTACGGGTTGGAATGTTTTACCTACTAGGACACTAATTTGTCTTTAAAGGAGCAGAAAACTTGGGAGAAAAAGTATTTGCAGGATTTGCAGAGAACGAACTTGAAAACCTTTCCTTCTATTTTAGCGCCTTCTTTCCCGTTAAGCACTCATCACATCTGCTGTCTCACAAATTGTGCTTCACTCTTGAAAACAGTGATGGCATCCCTGTCATTTGTGTCCTAGCCCTACAATTTCACATTTCTTTCTAGTCTCATTTTAAAGGGGCATCCTTGCACCATAGTATAAGGGCCCTGGCACAAGTTTGACAGTGGAACGCTTAGGCACCAGTGTCGCTTCAGCGGTACAACAGTTATTGATGCCGTTGACCAAGTTTGAGCCTCAAAACAGCCACTTTGTGAAATATTAAAGATTAGGCTAGTCTCAAATCCTCCCTCCCCAAGACCCTGTCGTGGCGGTACCAGAACTGAAAATGTCCTTACCCTTGCATCATAGTATATAAATTTTACCTCTCAACTTCTTCTGCCCACCCTTAAACATGTTGCCTGTCCCACACCGTCACTTTTCAATGGCTCAAAATTTCTTGCACTTGGATTCAAAAGCTATGATTCAGTAGATTGATTGCAAAATGTGTGTGTGTGTGTGTGTGTGTGTGAAAGAGAGAGAGAGAGCCACAAGGATATCCTCTTATCAGTAATGCGTGTGTTTGTGTGAAAGAGAGAGAAAGAGCCACAAGGATATCTTTCAGATCTTAGGATTGGTAGATATATAGGTCTACACAGCTAGTTTAAGACAATGGTCTATATTCAGTAACAGCATGCTAACAACTTCATGATTAAATGTAGCAGTCGTAGTAGAAAGTGTAGTAGAGGCAGCAGAAATATTTCTAAGTATTGATTATGAATGAATAAAACTTATGATAGGGTCCACAAAAATGTAATATGGTGGCTTCAGAAAAGAAAAAAGTCACAAGTAGATATTATAACATGATAAAGCAAATTGATTGCAGAAGGCGTGCGCGCGCGTGAGAGAGAGAGAAAGAGAGAGAGAGCCACAAGGATATATTTCAGATCTTTGGATTTGTCAATATATGGGTCTAGCCAGGTAGTTTAAGATATTGGTCTATATTACTCTAATCAGTAATCAGCAACAGCATGCATGCAGCTTTATCATTAATTGTAGTAGTTGTAGTAGAAAGAATAGTAGAGGCAGCAGAACAGCAGCAGAAATATATCGAAGAATTGATTATGAATGGATAAAGCTTATGATATAATGGTGGCTTCAGAAAGAAAAAAGTCACAAGTAGATATTACAATATGATAAAGCAGACTTGAGACTATAGTAAGACAACAGTAAGAGAAACACTGAATTGCCAATTACTATACGCTTATGTCAAATATCAACATTTAGCCTATCATACATTCAAAATAAAGCCACATGGTGTATGCTATTTGCTGTGCTATTGGCTGAAAAAATTGATCCATTTGATGAAACAAAAGCAGGAATAAGTGCTAAATGAGATACCTAAAGAGGAACATCTAGAATCAAGAAGGTTTAAGATAAGAAGGATTAGATAAGGACTAAAACTGAATATCGAATTCGAATTTAATAAAACTAAAAATACAAGTGCAAAAAAATGAAGATCAAGTATCAAGAAATAGCAAAAGGTAAACATTATCTAGACTCAATTACTTACAACGAGAGATACTAGAGATTACACAGATCATACACCTAAACCAAGATGTGTAAAATGGAAGTGCTCCAGGTATATTGTGTGTTTATCATATACTTCTTAAATTAGAAGGTAAAATTCTACAAATCAATTATCAGACCAAAATATTGGACAGCCAAATAATTGCTCATAAATTTCCAAAAAAAAAATTACATGTTCATGAATAAAATAGCAGAAATGCATAGAGTTAAGGCAAGCAATGTTAAAATTTTAAAAATATACGTTCGTGAGACTATTCAAGTAAGGAAAGACGTGATAGATTGTGGTGTTATTTAAATTATGGGTGCTGAGAGAGAGAACCCTACAATGAAGAAAAATATCTGGCAAAACAATTTTTAATATAACATAATAAGCAAAAGGTGCAAGAAAGATAATTTCTATGTGAATTCAACCTAGCTAGCATAATCCAATAAGAAAAGAGAATGAATCAGAAGCCTAAACAAGACTGCCTGCAACAACTAATGTCTTTTCTCCAACACAATGTCTTGTTGATTTTCCTTTAATTAAATACGAAGTCTAAAAGACATTACCTAATGTAGGTCTACTAGGTCCCTAACCTTTCAGTATTCCAAAGCCAGTCAGCAAAAATTTAAAAGAGGGGTACTAATATGAAAATTATTCTCTTTGTACTTTAATGTTTTGAACTTTTAGTGCGAATTTTCCTGCAATCGATCTATACCTTTTTGCTTTCCCCACGCATCATGAATTGCTAATAAGCTAAGTTGATAACATCTCAGTATGCTAATAAAAATCATAATATTAGGCATCCTTTCCTTCATCATCCCCTATAGTGCATCAAAGTCCATGTCCCAATGCTTGTAATCCCTCAAAAAAAAACCTTAAAAGTGATTTCTTTTGCCACCTTAAAATATCACCTCTTGACCCCTTGTTGCCACCATAGATTCAATCAGCACAAGCAGAAATAGATAGAACTCTAACCCATGAAGCCATTTTATATTTAACAAAAGCAAAGAACATATCTTTTAGCTCCAAATCAAATCTAAAACATATATAATACTGTGAAACGGACTGAGATACTCAAGGCTCAGCTCATGGTCAATTCAATCAAAGGCTCATTTGAGACTGACCCATGTATAAAAGGGGCCAAACTCGCAACATTTTAAAGGTCCTTAACTTATGGGGATTTGTCTTGAACTCAGCTTGACGAACTCATAAGCACCCTTAGACTATGTAAAGAACCAATCTAATAGAACATTGATTGAGATAAACTCAGTTTAGAAGATCCATAAAATTCGGGATAGAAGGTCAAAGCCTGATCGCATCTTGATGAAAGTTAATTTGTTCAATCCAAGTTTGAAAAGCCCAACCACTCTACTCATTTATAGCCCTACATACATACTAAAGTGACAATGGCATAATCAGTATGTGATTTATTCAATCCAAGTTTGAAAAGCCCAACCACTCTACACATTTATAGCCCTACATCCATGCATCAATTTTTAACCAAAGTGACAATGGTATAATCAGTTTGTGACCTTCTACACTCATATATCATCGTAACAAAAATGTTAGTAGTAATGATAGTGTGCCATACCCTCACTGTCACGGGAAACTTCAGCAAAACACACATCGCCAGCTTTTCGCATATGATCCTGCAATCATTTTCCCACCATATTACCACCATGGCTGTGCAGGTGTAAAATTAAATAAATAAACAAGTGCTTAATAACATATACTATGTTTGCAAGAATAATAATTCCCTTACCTTCAAATCTTGCCATGAACCAGACGAAGGAAGCCCTCGGACAATAACTGTGTATCAAAATATGGTTTGCACTCAGAATTATTTAAAGATGTCTAAAACAAACCTAGAACTAATTATGTAAAGGTGGTGGACAAACAAACACAATTTGCATACAGGACACTCCAATATTAATTTTGATTCTAGTGGCACCTCGAAATTCAGAATGGTGTGAAGTGCCATAACGCCCTCCACGGTCTCCACCACTGCCACCACGATGATCAATTGAGGATGATTGCCCCCTACCACCACGTGCAAACTCAACCTGTATCAAGGAACAAATGAGAAATTTATCAAGGAAAGACAAAAATATGGAAACATGTGAAATAGTTGAAAGCTCTTATTACCCTTAGACGGCAACCATCAAAATTATAGCCATCTCGACGCCTGATTGCATCTTCCGCATCCCGAGAATTATCAAACTGGTAAAAAAAAGTAGAGAGAGAGATCATCCAAAAAACTGAATTCGTGCTCATGCAACTAAGAAACACCCAAACTTATAGTAGTAGTGGTGGTAGTAGTACTAGTAGTAGAAATGAAAACTAGTACCTCCACAAAACAATAACAGGGAGGACGAGGTGGAATTTTCAATTCAATATCCAATATTCGGCCATACTGCAAAACAGCAACAATGTATATTTCACGCATGCCAACAATTGTTACAGCTTTGAGTATGAGGAACAGCAAGAATCATGTACTCCCAAGCCTCAAACCTTGTAAAATAGATCTTCAATTTCCCATTCTTTTATATCTGCAGGCAGGTTTCCAACATAAATTGTGCGAGAAAAACGACCACTCATTTTATGAACCAGATAGGCTGCTTAGCGAGCACACGTTCGCTGCATACAGAAGACGAAACCTTACAAATAGAGCTACAGTGTAATTGTTTTCCAAAATATTAGAAACTCATTCTGATATTCATTTTTTTTAATCTCTGCCTACTCATTTTGGCAATAACAAAAATAAAGAAAAAGCAAAACTATGAAGCAAACCAAGAGAGCAATCCTTGAGGTGAGCGGTGCTCCACAATCTCCATTGCTCACATGCTCCAAGATTTTTTTTGATAAATTGCTACATGCTCCAAGATGCTCCACAGCTATAATTTATTTGAAATGAAATTTGGTATGTTCATCTTCTCTAAATTTTTGCAGATGCATAAACCTTCTGAGAGTGAAAGCAAGAACCTCCAATTATATATAATTCCCCACAACTCCACCCTGACATCTCCCACTCCCCATCTACATTCCTATGTATGATTCCAAAGCTCATATTTGTCCAACAGCTTGACATCTATCATGAAGAAAGCATTTGTGTCATGAGATGAGGTGAGCTTGCTATAGATTCATGCAATTACCTTATTCAGATTTCTTTTAACTGCAATGAAGAAAATGGCCCTGGATAATATGCAATATTTCCTCAATATTCTATTTTTTTATGTTGTTAGAAGTATGTGTTCGGGTAATAAAGAAGGCATAATGTCACCATTCTCCCTATTTAGAGTCCATATGTCATATATGCATCAGAGCAACTGTAAATGATGGTCCATTTTTCTTTCTTTTTCTTTTTCTTTTTTTGTTCTCCTTTTTTTTCCTGGGTAAGTGACTGACAGTCAATTTTCAACAAATGAGAATTATATAATTTAAAAATCCTGGACCATGATAAAACTATATAAACATTAAACAATAAACTAGAATACCATGATTGATCTCACAACATGTCACCAAATACTAGTGTTCAATCCTATATTTACAGGAGAATAATGTTGGTTGGAGCTCAACCATTGCTGTCAGGAGAAAAAAAAAGAAAGTAAAAAGCCCACTAAGATAAAAAGTTCTGATAATCACTTTATATACTGCACCAGCATAAGATAACTGTTATCACAAAATCAAACCAACATAGAATGCGGGTTTGAATGACAGAATTTCGGTCAATTCAACAACATAGACTACAGATGATCAACAGCGCGAAAAATCAAACAACTTCTAAATAGTGGAGTTGTAATCCTTCACTGAACATTCATCAAGGATGTACAGACATTGAATTTATACATTCGGTAAAGTTTAATCAGTTCCGTTTGGCTTTGCAAATATTTTCTAGTCATGTGTTCAGCCCTTTACTGGGATTCGCATTACGGAAAGGAATTACATATTTTTCTAAGCAATTTGAACTTCTTTATGCGGATCTTGAAACCCAAACAGTGACCACATAGATACTTTGAGGGCAAAACAAAGAAACCCATTTCTTTTAAACTCATTTCAATCCATCTCGTTTCTGAAATCCAAACACACTCTTCACAGTCCTCACAATGCTCCATTTCGCCATCACACAAATTCATTTGCTTAACAGAGCATTATTAGAATTTTTTTTTTCTATATATGCGTTTGTGCGTATACATATATAGAGTAGTTAGATGGAGTTGTAGCATAAAGGGACAGCAATGACTGAGGTTATCACCGATTTGCGAAATAAAGTCCATTTCAATGAATCGTGAAACTACAAGAAGGAAAATTGTGAGCTTTGTTGCTAATAAACTGATAAAAACAAACATTTAGGTCCTAAAACATTAACATACCGGAGTAGAGAGAACTCGAATGCTGGTTCTACCAAGTGATTCGCCTTCCTTGGACCGTAGAGACCGAGTTGTCGTTGAGCTAGGGTTTCTCACCCCTTCCTACCTCCAGAGGTAAGACGACCACAAAAAAAAAAAACAGAAAAAAAACGCACGGTGGGAACTTGGGAATTGGGGATAACACGACAGAAAACATGTATAAAAGAATTTAGTTTTATTGTTCATGTTTAATTTGTGAGATAAGCCAAAAGTTAAATATTGGAGTATTTTTTAAAGTGAAGTGTGAAATGTTCACATCATATTTAAGAATATCCCGACAGTACTGTACCCGGTCTCTCAGATGTGGTGGTGAAGGCAGAGGGATTTCGGTTAACAATATTACTTTATTATTTATGATATAGTAAGACACATTGACAAACTTTTCGTCTTATAGGACTTAACTCAAAAGCCTCTTACATTAAAATAAAAACTCTTTCAATTTTTTTCACAGGTAAAAGTAATTGTTGTTTTTTTTGTGTTTTTTTTTTTTCTTCGACGAAAGATTAAAAGAAAGTTGTATTAATAATAAATAAATAAAAGGCCTTCGGCAATAACTACCCAGAATCCTGAGAACACAAGCCCAAAAAATTGTAAAACCCAAACCTAGGGACAAGCCCGGCCCCAGGAGATAAAGCCATTTAAGCCAATCGCCTGGATTAATAACGGACAAGCGATTGCCGTACGGTGCAAAACCGGAGATCTGAGTTAGTACGGCGGTCTTGGCAGCGGACGGCAGCGAGAGACTCCATTGAGAAAGGATGATTCTTGATGCTGCACAATGAAGCATCCCTAATTTGAGAATTGAAGTGCAGATTTTGAATTGAAGAATTCTGTGTCAGGAACATCTACCACTAAAAATTCTCTTGTTCCTCTCTTCCCATGTGTGGATGCACCATAGAGGAGAGGCATAGCTTTCTGATTGAGTTGACTGGTGAGTTAGCTTTCCATTTATCACTGATCCACGCCCTATTCTTGATGCTCCGAAACACAAATTAATCTTCAAGAACTCATCCAACCCTAACGCACCAAACCTCTACCTCTGCTTGTCTCTCTCTAAAAGCTTCAACATTTCTCTGAAAAACCCAACATCAGAGGGCAAAACGAGCCCCCCATTGCCCTGAAATACAAAATCTTTATCGGCCTTGTTGAGCAGAGAGACGAATGCAGGGAGGAGGTTCAGGATTCAGGAACGTGTGCACCGGTTCTTCCACTGTTGCTTGACCTATTTGAAGCGCACGGTTTGGGTGATTTTGTTGACCTTGTCGGCGGAAGCCATTGCAGTTCTAGAGAGAGAAGGGTCTGTAGAGAGAGGAGGGATGGGGAGAAGGCACAACGGAAGCTGAACACTGACAAGAGTCCGGAGTTGAGAGTCGAAAATGAGGTGGTTGTCGACTTGTCGGCGGCGAAGATGTAGCTAGAGAGGGATGCTGGGTCTGCCATCGATCTACAGAGAGAATATGTATGTGTGATATGTAGTACTATATAATATACGTAGTACATAAATATATGCGTGAAGAATGTATAATATAGTACTACCATAAAATGAGAGAAGGGTAGTTTGGGTATTTTTCAAATTTAAAATTACAATATTCACGATATATACAGGGTTTTTCGTGCAATTAATTCAAATATAGCAAGGTTAGGAAAAAAAAAAACAAAAAACAAAGGCAACCACTGAAGCGTCTTGGCCCAAAATTCACCGCGATCTCCTTCCCGGCCACCGCGAGTTCCTCCACCCGCGTGAAGAAGCTCCTCCACCGGCGTGAAGATAGTACTACCATAAAATGAGAGAAGGGTAGTTTGGGTATTTTTCAAATTTAAAATTACAATATTCACGATATCTACAGTGTTTTTCGTGCAATTAATTCAAATATAGCAAGGTTAGAAAAAAAAAAAAACAAAAAACAAAGGCAACCACTGAAGCGTCTTGGCCCAAAATTCACCGCGATCTCCTTCCCGGCCACCGCGAGTTCCTCCACCCGCGTGAAGAAGCTCCTCCACCGGCGTGAAGAAGCTCCTCCACCCCTCTCTCTCTCCTCCACCGCGAGCTACTCCAGGTATAGTCATCGCTCTCCACCACAGTGCACTCTCTCAGTCTGTTAGGTATGTTTTTCACTGGTACTCTTAATACGTTTCACTGTTTTAGGTCTACATAATATTTATTTGGTATATAGTGATAAAGTATGGGTAACATATCAAATCCATTGTCGCTCACAGTATAAAGATGGTTTCTTGTGTAAGATAACTGTTTCGGGTTGGATTGGATAAAATTTATGTTTGTCTCTGTGTTTGTCGGGCAATTGTTTGTTAAAATGCAAAATCCAATGCCTTTCAATAATGTATAAAAGATATCTATACTTTTTTATGCTACTCAACTTCTAGCACTCCTTTTTGTTTGATTTTCACTTTCTTGTTTTGAAACAAATTATTCAAAAGTATATTTTTTATTGTGTGAATATTTGGGTTGAGATAAAAGAGAGAGAGGTTTTACAATCAGATTGGTAAAAGGTCTTTGTTCATCTTCTGAAGTAAATAACTTATACTTCTGAGATATATTTTCTATTTTATTTAATTTAAGTAGATTTTTTCAAAGCCTTCCTTCAAAGGACCCTCTTGGAGAATATGAAAAAGATAAAGATTATTGGTCTGAAGGTAGAAGGCGTAATAGAGAATGCATGGTATGATTCTTATTTTTGGGTCTCATTATTTGATTGTATGCTTTATTTGCTTAATTTTATTTTAGTTCAAATTAATTTGGTTTTTATGGTTGATAAACCTTTAATAGTGGTGCTTTTCAGAGACATGTTTACTTTTGCTCCAATGTTCAAAACTAAAATATTTTTTTTGGATATTCACTTGATACTTTATGACACTTGATTGTCTTGACTATAAATTGTGTTTTGCATATTGTTTTTCTACTAAATAAGCATCATGATAGTGCCCATTAGTGTTAGTTGCATGTTCATATTCACCGAGATAAATGAAAATTTTGAATCAATACATTCTTCAAAACTGTTTTTTGCAGGTAAACAACTCTCAATCTCCAATTTCTGCATTGAGGAATTTCCTTCTGGTTTGTCCCTATGAAGTTTGTAAGTCTCTCTCTATTTCTTATGTGATTAGTGCCTTTGAATATGAGCAACTTTTTAATCTTTGGAGCTGCTAAATTTTTATTTATTTTTTGTTTCGTTTTTTAGTCCATGTCAGTATTGTGCAATGTTGCTAGATGGGATTAATCTTAGGTTTGTATACTCTGACTTAGAGGTTGTGTGCATGATCTGGACCTATGTTACCCAGTCTCGGGTACAAGTGTCAGGCATCAATGCGTATCTAGACATCAGATTCATGTATTTCTCAAATTATAGGATATGGGGACTTTGCTAAAAACATTTTGTTGCTGACATTAATATGTTTATTTGTACAACATTGGTTAAAATGAAATACTGGAAAAGCACATGTTCAAAAAGGTTACAAGATTCTTTTTGTGTTTGGTTGGAGGGAAGGGAAGAGAGGGAGGAAGTAAGGAGGGAGGGATGCTGCTTTGTATTCTACTATCCGCCAAAATTTGGGGGGAAGAGAGGAGAGAAAAAAGGATAACTACCAACAAATATGGAATTTCCATTTTTAACCTTCCTTAAAATTTGAAATAAATATTTACTTTTTATAACAGTATATAATGAGGGTATTTTGAAATAAATACTCTCTTTCCCTTCCTTTCAACCAAACAAGAAAAAATTGTCACCCCATCCATCCTTTCCATTTAACCAAACAAAAAGTGAGAGAGACGCATTCCCTTCCCTAGGTATGCCTCATCCATCCCTCCAACCAAACGGAGCATAAAGGACAACAAATATTTGTTTACTGCACTATTCTAAATGCACTATATAACATATGTTATCTCAAAACGAATAGAAAACTTCAATTTCGACCTTTTTAGCCTACTTTTGAAAGCTTGAATAAAATATAAATTCATTGTTATGGTAGTTCTTATTGTAATATATCATTGTTATTTACATAATTATATACACATGCATAACATTTATTAACCTAACGTTCGGACGCATGAGATCAGCCCCCCAACCAATCTCGCATGTGTGAAGAAATCTCATATTTAATAAAAATACATTAGCCTTGTCAATCGGTTTTGATAATTGACGTTTATAAAAATATATATATCCAAAAATATATGTTAATCTCCATCTGCGAGTTTCAAAACTATTGAGAAGCAGGAAAAAGTAAAAAATTGTGAGATCAAGATCCCCCACCCCAACAAATAAAAAAAAAACTGGCTCCACCCCTTGCATAATTAACAACATTAAAATGAACAGTAGGGTTCGTTTATGTGCAGAGTTAAGAATGTTGGAGCATGACAGCTGTTTAAAAAAACTAATCTGGCCATACGTGAAAGACAGGTAAAGGAAGGCCCAACGCTTGTAAAAATCACATTCTCGCAAAAAATAAAATCAAGTAAAGGAAGCGTGTGTAAAACACTCATCTTCATGCCATTTCTGAACTACTAGTAGTATAGAAAGAGGGAGGGGGGAACAGAAAGAAAAAAAACAAAAACAAAAACAAAAAAGAAGCAACAGTTGGACTAACAAAGAAACATGGAAAAAAAATTCCAACCCTCCACAAGTGTGCAGCAACTCTATCTTATGTGAGTGTTTCTTCATCAGCTGCACTGATACATGCAAGGAAGTGTCCAACACTCCAACCCATAGCATGTGTCTGTGTCACGTGTCTTTTCGTGTCGACATGGACACCTTGGGGTGCAATGATCAACATTTTGGACAAGAAATGAATCATGCTATAAAATAATATACACACATACATATATATATATATATACACACACACTGGAAAGTGCAAATAGACTCATTGCTTTGGTTAGGTATTGAAGTTGGCCACTCATCAAGCCTTCTATGACCACCGTGTTATCTGATTTAAACAAATCCATCACTGTTGCAACCTTTGTTGAGCCCAAACTCTACTACATGTTGCTTTAAGGATTGGCCATGCTATGTTAGCAAATCATGAATGGAGAAAATTACATTGATCTCTCCTGACGTTTGATATAATTACACGAACCTCCCGTATAACTTTAAGAATCACTTTGACCTCCCCTAAAAGGTGAATTTTGGAACAATGACGGAAATGGCATATATCACGCACTTAAAATTAGTGAAATGCCAATATTGCCTTTATAACAAAGACAAAAACCCTTTTGACCCTAGTAAATATTGGTAAATTACAATAATACCCAATCATTGTCCCTGGTTCGGAAAATCCATAGTTAACCCAATTGTTTCTTTCTTGCACGATGGATTGTAAGGATATTCTTGTAATTTTACTAATCGACTTTCCCAAATCATCTCATTAATTAGGGAAATTGGGGATAGTGCTTGAAACAAGTCTCTAACAACCATAGATTCCAGCGAGAGAGAGAAAGGTGAGTTCTCTGGTCATCGTTATTCGTTAATTGTCCCTTGCACCTTCTCTTGTAGTGTCTTTGGCTCTAGCAGCTCCGTCATTAACAATTACTCAAGTTTTGATAGTGTTGTCCATGATAACCGCCATTTTTATGATTTCTGATTATGTCGCCAGTGATAAGCCTTCATTTTTAGGCCTTTTACATTATTCATCCTCTCAATCAACAGCCCCCTCTAGAGATTTTTCAAATAAAAAATAAAAAATGCATATCTCAAATGAATTATAGCCCTAAACTGATTTCCTGGTTCCTTAATCAACTTATCAACAATATGTTTCATTAGCAACCCTTTCTTCTCAATCACAACCCATCTAAAATTGTGATAATCATTTCTATCCTTATATGTAACCCATTCATCGAGGTTAAAATAACCAGACAATTTTCTAGAAATTTGAAGGTGGAAATTTTCATTATTTATATGAACAACCTTTTTCGATGAGCAACCACAGACAAAGAGAGGTGCATCAGGAATGGGAAGGCTGTGTATACCCGCCACACTCTCATTCTATCTATGTATCTAGGCAATCCAGATTTCATGGAGATTTTGGTCATTTCTGTTTACAAGACATCTATAAATTTAATGTTATTCAATGTAGGGACATCTGAGTAAAATCATACCATCCGTAAGCTTCGTTGACTTTCTAGTTATGGCAAACGTTAAGGGAGGTCAGTGTAATTTACCCTAAGAATATTACTCAAGCATGAATCAGGAAACCCAATGAGACTGTACTAAATTGGATCTTATCATTTGTTATTCCCATCTATTACTTAGAGTAATGAGAAAGAATGAAGGTAATCTATAGAGAGTTTAGGAAAGACAGGAGGAGCGAAGCATGTCCTTTCTATTGCTTTTTCTCCCATCTCTCTCTTGCAAAATAGATGAGGCTAAAGTTAGAAAAGCTTTGGAGAGCTTCTTTAGATAAATTTGTAGAAAGGCGTAGCAGGGAAGAGCTTGAGTTGAAGCGGAGAGGAGATGTCTTGTGGTAGGAGAATGGCAGAAGAGTAACTAGGAATTTGTTCTTGTGACAGTTTAAGATCATGGACCTCCACACCTTCTCTCTATTTTCAATTTCTTGAAATATTTTAAGGCTACCAATCACCTTTTGATGGTTATTGTGTTAAATTTTTTTGAAACAGTGTCAGATTACCAAACAATATTCTCTGGCAATTTTACGCTATAAAAGAAAATTTGTTTCTGTTTATTGATAATCAACATAACATAAACACTATATATGTTTATCCTTGAACGATAAACAAGAAACACAAACGGTTACCAAACAGACCCTTAGTACTTGATTTCTATTCAAGGTATGCATTGCAGTTTCAGGAAGAAACGAATAAGCATATTCAGAATACACTCAAATCCATATTAAGAATACTCTCTCTGGATGTAAGTCTATGGAGTCATCTCTGCAGTGAATTGCCGGAGTTTGACCGGATTGAAAAAAGACCCATAAGGTCAGATGTTATTTTGAAAAATTTATTGGATTCTAGTATTTGTTTTTTGGGGGAAAAGATCATAGTATTTGTTGAGATTACTTATGATTTGGTCTTACTGTTATGAGTTGGATACAAATGCTTTGGTGGGGTTATGTTTGTATACAAAATCTCATACATTTGTTGCGCCTACTGGGCTCTGTTTCAGCGATAGACAACAATGGCTTCTCGATTCCAGGCCGCTTCACTCGTGGCTTCGCCTTCTCATCCCAATGCAGTTGCCTGGTCCAATGAGAACTTGGTGGCCGTCGCTTCCAGTCACCTTGTTACTATCCTGGTAATTTAGGAGTTGTTTACTTTTCTGAAAGTAATTTTCTAGACGTTCGAACTAACTGTTTTAAAAACCAAGTTAAAAGCATCTGATTATTTATCCATTTTTGTCTTGACAAATAATTCACATGCATACTAACCATTGTTCAACTCTTTGACAACAATAAGAAGCCAAGCGCTTCCCTCCCTCTCTATCTTTCCAATAGATGGAAGGGCAGGGGCATTTGTGGCATTTTTTGCTAGTTCTCAAGAACTCAGAGTGTTCAGACAACTACAATATATTGTTCTTTAAAAATTAAGCATTTTTTTAGCTGATTGTCAACAAAACAAATTTTTGCACTTTTTTTTTTATGGTTTTTGCCCTTTGAACCAAACATGTTCGTTCTTTCGGGATTGACATTCCATTTTGGGAGTTAGAATGGATACTATTGGATAAAATCATACAACCTTGATATAAAAAAGAAGGGTTAAAATCATAAAACTCCCCTTTACTTTCAAAATCGTGCATAAAACCCCCCATTGAATTAAAAACCCCCTAAACTAACAAAACTTATCAAGATACCCCAAACCCGTGACCGACCCGTTAAATGGGTTGTGAAATTTCAAGTTTGACCTTGCTATTTAATATTAAATTAAAGGCTATAATTATTATTTTAAAATTGCAAAAATACCCGTCTTCTTCCCAAGCACTTTGAAAGTCAAATTTGATTAAATAGCTTTTAATTAATATTTTTGTAGGCACTTTGGGGTATTTTTGTAATTATCAAATAATAATTATAACTTTTAATTTAATATTAAATAGCAAGGTCAAATTTGACATGACCCATTTAACAGGTCGGTCACAGGTTTGGGGGTAACTTGAGAAATTTTGTTAATTCAGGGTTTTTTAAAATTTTACTGGGGGTTTTATGCACGATTTTGAAAGTAGAGGGTGGTTTTGTGATTTTAACCCAAAAAAGAAAGCAGTTAACATATATAATTTCCTTGTAATTATTATTATTTATTTATTTATAAATGTATATGTAAGTGTATGTGTCATTTTTCCTCTTTGACCTTTGTTCTGTTTTGATTTACTGTGTTAACTTAATTTGTGTATATGGATTTTCTGTAGAATCCTGCTATGCCTTTTGGACCCCGAGGCCTCATCACTATTCCTGCCAGCAAACCTTTTTCAATTGGCTTGGTGGAACGAAAAGGTGTGATTACATGTTTGTATATCATTTGATCAATGATTATATGTGAATAATTTTATTGGAGATTAGGAGATAGTTATTCAAATTCATCAGTACTTTGTTTTCTTGTTATTATACGGCACTCCGAGTTATATATATATATATGTTAACTCCATACTTTATTTGTAGCCTCATTTTGTTTCCCCCCACAAAGTTCGTGTTCTAATGATAACTTTCATCCCAATTTTGTTCTTGTTAGAATGTACAAATGTGTAGGTTATATTATAACATGTAGAGTGTTGTCCATGACTAACGTTTCATCTACATGTATTCTGAAGATTTTCTATCTGGTTGCTTGCTTCCCACGCGTTTATCAAGGGATATTCGTCCTTACGCTCGGTCAATATCCTGGTCTCCTATTGGATTTGCTCCTAACTCGGGGTATGTATTTCAGTTGTTTTCAACTATACTGCTTACTTCACCCCTGCATTCACCTGCTCCTTTTGAAATTTGATTATGGGTTTAAAAGCATATGTTATTTGGTTTGGTACAGATGCTTGCTTGCTGTTTGTACCTCAGAAGGACTTGTGAAGCTATATCGTATGCCATATTGTGAGTTTTGTGCAGAGTGGGTTGAGGTATGTGCCAGACAAGCACTCTGTGACCCCCATATTTGGACTATTCGTAATCCATTTTTAGTAGAAAAAGATGCTTTATAACTGTAAAAAAATGAAAATATTAAGTGTTGCTTGCCCATGTTAATGTTCAAAAATGAAGTCATCACTGGAACAACTATAACAAGGACCATATTTTGAGTCAAGAACTGCTCAGTGTGGATTAACTTCTAACAAAATGAAGGGATGATGAGAAACAGATTCACATAAGAATGGATTGCCAGATTAATTTCATATGTCAATTATCTCGATGCTGACTTTAACCATGTTGGAAATAATTTATATGGTTTGTGCCTCATCTCTACATTCATGATTAGAATCTATGTTGATAATTTAATTACCAATTTAATTTTTTATTATTTTTTCCAAAATTTTAATTGCCAATTGATGACAATTGAATGTTTCTTCAAATATTGCACTACTAGTCTCTCTTGTACCAACCTGCCTCTCTCTTTCCCTCTATAGATGTTATTGTATAATTTTAGTTTAGGATATAAATTTCCAGAGAGCCAATTGGAGAAAGATGGATTAATGTACCTCTGAGTGCAAGTATGGAGATTAAAGCTTTTTGAGTTGAGGTGTATATCTGTAAATGAATGTATGCTTTACCTATGTGTTGCTGGCTTGCTGCCCTTTGGGTGGGAGGTGCAGATTTACAATATTCATTTTTTATCTTTTAGGTTTTTTCTTTGGGGAGTTGTTGACTTAATTGATTTGAATTCTGATGCCATTTGAAATACAAGTTGAACATTTTCACTTTGTATAACAGATACATTGATATTCTGGTATCATTTTCTCTATATAAGTCTATTATCCATGTATTACTATGATTCCTATGATAATTATGGGAAGTTTTGAGGTCCTTTGTTGCCCGGGTCTATATAAGCATATGCTTATTTTGACATGATAATCATGATCTTTTTTCTTCGTTCTTTCTTCTTCTTCGCCATTTTTTCCCCCGTCTTCTCCAGTTAGAGGAACACATGATGAATCTTGATACATGATTTTCAACCTTTGTTCTGTGATTAGTCATTATAAGCCATTTTGGTGACTGATCAAGTCTATTGATTCTGTAAGATGAATAAGATATTTAAGAACTTCCATCTTTGTCATACACTTATTGCATGACTAGATACTCAAAACAGTAATATATATATATATATATATTTTCAAATTTGGATGTTAGAAAAGTTTGTGATTGTAAACATTGTTTTCTAGATGCATCTATAGTGATTCTGCTTTGTCTAATATTGCAGCTATTGTGCAATATTTATTTTGTAAAAGGTTGTTGACAAGATTCTCTGATCTAATCTCTAAACTGAAAGAGAATTGAGTTGTGTGCCAACCAAAATTTGACGATATATGATCTGTAAAATATTTTCTTTTATTTTTCGGATACAGATTGATACATATATATTCTGCTGCCTTTGTTTCTTACGTGATGCAGTCTACTTATATATATTTTTATTTACTCTTTTTATGTATTTTTTATGGTCAGTAACAAAGAAACGTATTTACTTAATTGTTACCCCTTCAAAATTTCACAGTATTTTTTCTGGGATGTTCCTGCTTTATTTTTGTACTGATTATAAATTAAAATCTTTTTTCCCCCTATTGTTTTAGGTTCTGGACATTTCTGAGATGTTATGCAATTACCTTTCTAGTATCAGTTTTGGGGAGTTGGAGATCCCTTCATCTTATGATGTAAGTAGAAATATCTACCTGTTTCCTTTTCCTGTTTGCATTGGTGTGCTAATTTACACCTCATTGTTTCTGTATGCATTTTTCTCAAGTCATTTCTTATACCTTAACCTAGTTACATAATGTTCTTTTTTTCTATTCATTTTACAGGAGCAAGCAAGTCAGCAAAGCATGGAATGTCCTGATGATATGCCGATCTCTGTTTTTAGAAGGAAATCTAAGCGAAGAAGACAGAGTTTGGCCATAACGTACATTGTCTATTGTTTTTTATACAGCTGCTCATTCAATGTTCATCTTGTTCTTTTCGCATTCATGTTCTCTTATATTGTTTTGAATATGCACCTCACTCTTTCTATATCTTTGCATTATTATTTATTTATTTAATGGGGTAGCAGAATCACATAATCATTCGATGTAATATTCAAACCCAGAAGCTGTTGTGAAATTTCCTTTCATGAGATCTTCTCATTTTATTTTATTCTTGACATCATCATTTTTGGATGAACATATTTCAGCAATAAGGAGTCTGGAACCTTTGGAGACCAGTCACTACGTAGTGGAAACATTAAGAATGCTAATCCTAGCTCTACTCCTTATACTGGAAACTTAATCACTCTGTTCAAGGATGAAAAATTCTTCCCATGCTCAATTTTGCAGGAGGGGTCATCAGTGGAGGTGGTGTATTATCCATAGCTTTGGGGTAACATATTTTCCTATACTGCTCTCTACAACTTCTCAAGTGTTCTCCAGGTTTGGCTTTTATAGGTTTTTGAGCAGAATGAGCAACGTCGTCTATGGGTTTCTGGCACGTTAGATCACTTTAATGGCGCAAAAGCTCTAATTAAATTTTCAGAAGCAGATGGAAGTGGTATATCAAATTTGTGTATTTTATTTTTTTATTTTTTCAACTATCTAAACTGTGTCATTCTTAGTATTAAGTATCTCTTCAATTATTCTTTCAGGGAAACAAGATGAATGGATTGAAATGGATTCTAAATATGATTACATCTGTGCACCGTGTTTCCCTGATGACACAGTAGCTGGTCAGGAGATCCATTTTCCGAGAATTCGCCCTTGCATGAATGTGGGAAATCTTCCGGAACAAATACTATTTCATAATTGTCAAGGAGTGGAGGATGTTCTAAGAGCTGGACAAGCGTTGGAAGCCTGCACAAATGATAGGTAATTATTCCTATTGAGTGGGTAGGTATCCTGCAAGTTTAGGTATGGACAAATAGGATTAAAGTGTTACTCGGTTGACTTACTGCACAATGACCATGACAGCATGGAAATAGAAGCTTGTGTGCAGAAAAAGGCGTACCGTTTTCTTACAGTGTGTTGAATGTTTCAATTTAGCTCTTCAACTATATCACTGTGCTCAAATTCCTTTCCGAAAAGCTAGAGAATGAATTTTACATTACCAACTGATGCTGATGGATGGATATGTAGTGATTTTAAAAGGTACTTCATAGAACTAAAATGTCTATGGTAAAATCGTATTTTCATACAATAAGTTAGATAAGTAAAATTGTATGAACTTCGACATGTAAGAAAAAGCACACTCCACCATACTTTCTTTACTGGGATATGGTGAGTAACTGAAGGAGTGACGGGAAAGTATGTAAACCATCCCCAATTCCATTTCATAAGAACCTTGCATTTTGTTGTGAATGTGTTTGGTGAAGCTAGGAATGGTAACAGGGTGGGTTTCCCTAAGCCTTACCCCATCCCTTTTAACAATTCGGTCCTATACCCATCCTGAACTTGGGATGGGGTTGAACCTTAGATCCCATCCCTAATTACGAACAAGACTCAGAGTCCCGTCCTGCTCCGTTAAAGAGAGAAAGACAGTACAAACCCTGTTTATATATAGGAAAATTGCACTGACCTCCCCTCTAGTTAGGCTGCAATGCACAGACCACCCCTTTACTTTGGATGACATCAATTACACCCCTGCCGTCAATGAGTTTGACGGTAAAAAAGGATCACTAAACTGAAACCCTAAAATGGAAATTTTACCTTTCATATGTCTATGACGACACATTTTTCTTCGTACTAACTTCTAATTTTCTGACAGATTTCACTCTCTATCTAATACTCCCCTTCTCTATAAAACTCACTATGTCTATGACTCTAGAAAAGTGATGGAGAATATGACTCACGGCATCCCCACCTATTCAAAGAACAAGTACCGTGGAATCATGACTGTAGTGCCAAGCATCAGAATATAGTGTTGATAAGCCTTAACTGTTTGTGCTGCAAAATTCAAATCTACAAGATTCAATAACTGCCAGAGTGGTAACAACATAATCTAGAATAGTAGCACCAATATCAGCACCATTGACCAACGGCGTCCCTCATCATGGCCTTACCCTCCATGGGCAACAATTCCCTAAAAAACATTGGACCAATTTGATGCAATACTAGGGAACGAGCCCGCAACATCACCCTCAACACCTCTATCGTCAAGTACAAAACAGAGAAATGCCACTGCCTCGTCTCTGGCACCGACAAACCCATGCCGAAGACCATAGAACATCTTGCTCACCAAACAAGTGGGTGTTCGCAACATAGTTGTTTTCCTCAATAAACAGGACCAAGTTAATGATAAGAAATTGTTTCAGCTGGTTGGATTGGAGTTAAGAGAGCTTCTTTTCGCTTGAGAATTCCATGGTTATGATGAACAGGACCAAGACCACCTCCCTCTCTCTCTCTCTCCTTTTTCTTCTGCCACTGGTACCCAGCATCAACAACAACCTCTTACACCTCCAGATGTCAATCCTCTCTCTCTATCTCATATGTACACACACCGTCTCTGTCTCTCTATATATACATATATATATATAAATATGTATTCATGGGTGTAAATAAAATTCCAATTTAAATTTCAAAAACTAATTAGCCAATTATGTCAATTGGTAAATTCACTTACTCCGTTAATGCACGCAACCGTTGTCTTTGACAGTGGATGTCAGTGTATTATTAAAACTAAAGGTACCCTAACTAGAGGGAACTCCGGTGTAATTTGTCCTTATATATACAAAGAATTATATGTACGTATGTATATTGATACAAAATAAATGACTAATTGTAGAAGAGAGAGAAGATTGCTGTCCAATTATCGACTGTAGAAGCCAGAGAAACCGATGAACGCATGGAGTGGTGGATGAGTTGGAGGAGCAGGTGCAAGACAGATAGAGGCCTGAAAGGAGGGGGATGAAGGAGATGATGAGGAGGCAGAGATTGAGGTCAGAGGATTTGTAGTTCACGTAGGGCTAGGGGGTTGTTGTCGGCATTGGAGAGGGAGGAGGTGAGGGAGCAGAGAGGCAGTGGGATAGTGGGGGCTTTTGTTTTGGGAGAAGGGAGGGGGGGAGGGGGTGGCAGCGGTTGATGACAGAACATGGAAACACTAAAGATACAGCTATATATATATATATATATATATATATATATAAAGGTATCTAAGAAATGTTAAATCTTAATAAGGGTATAAAGGTAAATTTGCTTCCCTCTCCAAACCCGGATTGGGTTCAAAGAATTTAATTGAGACCTGCCCCTATACCATTTAATACCTCAACATACCCGTCCAATTAGGGGCATGCCGGTCAGGTCAAATTGCCACTCCTAGTTGAAGCTTAAGGCTATGTAAGACAAACCTCCACTTGCACATAGTACTTGAATATGAGGTAAATCGAATGCTAATTCTCAGTTGCTTGTTGTAGCGTTTATGTTTAATTTGTCAAAATTTCTCTTTCAAAGAATTATTATATTCACCTTCATGATTTGAATATACTTAAGACACAAATTATTCATTATCAATTACTTTCTTCTTACACTTAAACTATAGAAATGCTTGGAGCCTCTATTCTAGATTACTCGAGTCCTCTTAAATTTGCAATTATTCTTTCTTTTATTTTTTATTTTTCCCTTGAAAAATTAGTTTTCATATTCTGTATGGTTCTTAATTTGTTGCTTATGCCTCATTTAGATGTTCGTAATTATAATAGAATGTGCAGGTGGGTCGAAGGCGTGTTTGTGGGTTTGAATGAAAATGGACTGCTGGTGAAATTCTATGGTGTGTTATTATCTTAGTGACTCTTTTTATTAGTAATTCATGCTCATGTCCTTTCAATTTTGTTTGCTTCGAGTATTAGTCAAACGTATCTAATATTTTAATCATTCCTATTGAAGCTGAAGTTTGTAGCTTATAAAAACCTGCACGTGTATGGTTCATACATGTCATTGGTGTATTGTGTGTGTCAGAAAAAAGGTTGTCCTTTTATTTTTCCCAACTTTTTGGTACTGTAGAAGGAAGGTTTATTGAAGAGCTCTAGGTTGTTGAAAAAATTAGTAAGTGTTTTATACACCAGATATACCTGTGTTGGTAAAGTGCCATCTGAGAACCATGTCTTTCTCACCTTGAGGAGTCTACACAACATGTTTTTAGAGACCAAGCAAGAAATGGAAGGCCATGGTTATATTGACGTTTCATATATGATGTAACCTTTAATAAAGTAATTACTTTCTACACTATTTTCCTCTTGAAACTTCTTCCGGATATGGATCCTAATATAACTATATATTTGATATAGGAGTTTGCTGAAACACACATTTCAAGTTTTGTCCCAATGTTCAGGGAATAGATGCGTTTGACTTGTTGTGTCCAACTCAACACGAATAATTCAAGTTTATGTAGCCACTGGTAAAAGTTTTACGCTAGCTGTCAAGTTAGCTAACACAATCCTCCTTTTTTCAGGCTTGGCACTGGCTGTGTAGATAAGGCACTAAGCATGATGACAGGCATAATTCTTTGACTTCTTGTGCCCATTTATGATAAATTATAAGCTAAAGTATTGTGAAATGGAAGAGAGGATATGATAGGTGCATCAGAAACATGACTTTAGAGAGAAAAATGATGTAGGAATGCAATATGAACTTGTTATCCTGAATACATGAGTGGTTTGTGAAGATATTTTGTAGGATAATATATCTGCTTGCTGCCACTTCTTTGTTCATTTTAGTTATTCCGTGTGTAGTAGTAACAGTGTGATGCTGACTTAGGGAATTGGTGGAAGAGTACAAATTGAACTATTAAGGCTGGAAGTTGGAGCTAAAATGATGTATCTTCAGAAGTTACGTACATAGATATAAAACTATATTGAGCATTGATGACTTTGGGACACCTTAATGGATCCAGTTCCATATAAGGAGTCTGAGTTTGAGGAATATATTCTGCAGATGATGTGGAAATTTGATACATGAATTTTATTTGACCAGTTTTTCTTTATAGAATAGCAATGAGAACCTGTAATATATGGAGCATAATGATAGCAACTGAGGGCATCAAAGTGGACCATTGTTAAAAGTTAGACAAATTTAGAAAATTAAAAATTGGTCTTATCAAGATATTATTAGACATAGTGCTTGTTTGGTTTGGCTTTTCAAACGCTGCTTTTGGCTTTTGGACTTGGAAGCTATTTGAGTAGTGTTTGGCTTGTTTTTTTGAAAGAGCTTTGGCTTTTAGAAGAACATTTTGGAGAAGCTGTTTAGGGGTTTAATGAAACTTTCAAAATACCAAGCATGCCCTTCATATTTGTCAGGAAAAAATAAAGTATTCTACCCATATCCCTTCATATGCAAAGAAACCCTAATCGCATCACTGGTCGTCCCTCTCATCTGGTTACAGTCTCGCGCTCAGCAGGTTCCACCGTCTCCTTTTCTCATCCTCAAGATGTATCCACTTTGTTGGTTCAGACTTGAGAATGCAGAAAGCTTCTTAACATGAGATTCACTATCTCACCTCATTATATCTCTGCCCAATCGTTTTATTTTGTTATATTTTATTTTATTTTTTATTTTTATTTTTTTGCAGAAACTCAACTGCATTGGTTGTCCAAATAATTAAGAAATTTCTCATTCCTTCCATGGCACGATGTTTTCATCTGTCATCATTAAACCCTTCCCTATATGCTAATTCGAAGGAGAAGTTGACGTTTTTTTTTTTTTTTTTGTTGACAAGGAAGAGAAGTTGACATTGCTTGTTTCAATTTGTGTTTTATTAGCTTGAGATACAATTTTGATTTTTAATTTGACTGTGTTAATATTAATTTAGTGTTATGTCCGTTCATGTGTGTATTGTTGTTGAGAAATGATTTCTAATAACAATGAAATCATACGAGAGGGTTCAGTCAAAGATTTCTTGGATGGAACTAATTTGTTAATTTTAACCGTAGGACAATTTCATCTTTTTGTGAATTGAATTATGTTGCATGGGTTACTAGGGTGTTTAGGGTATAGTTCTATGTAAAACAATGTAATTACTTTGGGCCTGTTTGGTGCACGTTTTATTTTTGGTGCTTTTGTCGGGTACTGTAGCAGTGAACAGTGGAAAGAACATGTTTGGTAAAAAACATTTTGTTTTGTTTAGTGCTGAAACGTTCTGTGAATAGAGGCCAAAAGTCAAAACACCAATTTGGTGTTTTTACATGTTTCCGCACTGTAGCAAATTAGCAATGAACACTACCCAATTTTGCTTTTTGAAAAATTCTGAAATGACCTTTTAAAACCAGCCGTTATATTTTTTAAACTTGCAAGACTTTTCTACCAAACATGTTTTTATGTTTTTGCTTTCAAAAATTTTGCAACAAATAGACAACAAACATGCTTCCGATTTCTATTCAAAACACCATACAGCAAAACATGTACCAAACAGGCCCTTTGTGTTGCTAAATAGTTCCAATATATATATATACAGAAATGATCACTTGCACACAAGTGACCAAGAAATTTATCCACACCAAGCATAATTACCGTTGGATATGATTGCTATGTTTTTTTGGTAAGTACCTTTTTTACACTTGAATCGTATCCAAGTTGATTATGCTTCGTGTGGATAAATTTCTTGCTCACTGATTTGCAAGAGATCATTATTGTATATATGTATATGCACACACACCCCGTCTAGGGTCAAAATAGTTATTTAGATAGTAGAAGAACTTTCAGGAAATGTTTTGCCAAACAGAAATAAAACTCTTTCAGCATTAAAAGCTCTTCTAAAATATAGTTCCCAAACACTAAAGCGTAAGTCAAATGGAAGTGATAGATTATGTTTCTCTTTCTCTTCTCCGTACAAAGCCGAAGCAAAAGCCATGCCAAACAAGGCCATAGTGTTTACAATCTGCAGGATCTGTTTCTTAAGTTCTTCTGGGCAGGTTTAGTTTTGGGAAGAGATCTTAGGATGTGGGTGGATACCTTGTTAAGACCAATATATTGTTAGTCATAGTGGTCCTAGTGTTACGTGCTTCAGGATCTGTTTCTTGAATGACCCCTAAAAAGTTGTAAGGCATGGATAATGATTTTTTGCATTATGCATTCCTTGTTGCTCTTTCAATTCATCTTTTCTTCTCTATTCTGATTTCTTGGGTTGACAAAAAGAAACCGGAATATGTGCTGCTTATATAATTAATAATTTTGCTTCTGATATGTGCTGATTTTGTATGGTGCATCTTATGACCTGTCTTGTATCACTGTCTGTGAAGGGGATACTGGATCAGTCACATTAGATGCTAGCTCTGTCAGACTCGCACCATCATGGATTAGTGAACAAAAATCATGGCAAGTTACTCTAATCAAGATTGAAACGAAAGGCCAGGAGTTGCACAAGGTTTTGCTTCCATTGTCAACATACTCCATCTTCACTGTTATTGGTGATTTTTTTTACTAATTTTTTTTGTTATTTCTTCAGGCAGTTCAGAGCAAATCTGATGATCTGATTGAAAATAATCCGCATCAAATTGTGTGTGCGCCTAATTCTAAAGGGAAACCTCTGAAGAAAATACAAGAAAAGTGTACTGACCAGTTAATAACTGCAGATCGATATGCTTCTCGTAGTGCAATGATGTCATCACTTCTCGTTGCCTGGTCGCCTATTCTGCGCTTAACGACTGAAATTGGGCCAGTTTCTCCAGATAACTCGCCTAAGGGCTGTGCTCTACTTGCAGTTGGAGGGAAGTCTGGTAAAATTTCATTTTGGAGAATCCATGAGCCACAATGCTACTCTGTTGTTTCCAGCAGGGACCCAACTTCTGCATTGCTTGTTGGACTTCTCCAGGCGCATAGTACTTGGATCACTTCAGTTAGCTGGGAATTGTTTGTTTCTGATGCTTCAAATCTTCAGATTTTATTGGCTACTGGGAGTTCTGATGGGAGGTGAGTTAGGTATGCAGATCTATATCATAAGCAGTGTTTTACACCATTATTCTTTCTTTGAAATTTTTGTTTACTAATGGGCATTAGATAACACTCCTGTGGATGCTTTATCATAGGAGGTATGATTGAAGTGCCTTTTGTGTGTGCGTGTGTATTCCTTTTTCTTTGTTTGTGCGGTTCTCTTTTGTTTTCTGGATGATTTGGATGATATATTCATACTAAGCTTGGTGTAAGAAAATATGCCTTCATCTTATCCAGATAATTAGATTTAAATTTCCCTATTTTTGGGTACAATGTATAACCTTAGGCCTGTCCATTCTGGTTTTAAGTGATGGAGATCCTTATCCCTGGAAATGCTAAATCTTGTTAACATCTTATGTGATTTTTTCATAGGATTTCTTCCACTCGTAAAAATTTGAACCTGCACTTTTTATGATTGAATTAATTATAAGTTTACTTCCCTGTCTTCAACAATTTATTTCTCATGATGATAACTCTGTTTTAGGGTTCTAGAAATATATGATTTAAGATTTTTAAATTTAGAGTTTTTCTACTAGCCACGAGAACACGTGGGTATTTGTGGGGAGGAGGCTGTGGTAATTAATTTGCTTGCTGGTCTTTTTAAATCTGTGCATTCATCTTTAGCTTGTCCATCAGTTTCATTCTATATTGTTCTTCTTACCAGTGAAATCAGGATATTTGCAGTGTTTTCTTGGTTTTTTTTGTTGTTTTTTTTTTTTTTTTTGGCTTTCCCCTTCTCTAGGCTAGCACTTACATTCCATTTATTTATTTGGAGAAACTGTTTATTTGTGAGTAGAAGAATGTATCTGGGGGTTGAAATAATTTTCTAGATGGAACTCATTATATTGTTACTCTTACTACTAGTTGTCGTCGTCGTCGTCATCATCATCAATACCACCACCACCACCATCATTGTCTTTATCCCGTACAAATGGGGTCGGCCATCCATCAAAGGGATTTGACAAAATTTTACAGCCAGCCATCTACCTGACACCAATCCACCTTTTATTGTTATTCTTATTAGTGATAGCAGGATATTGGCACTGTTTTTGGTTTTTGTTTTGTAATGAATTTTTTTCCCTTCTTGAGGCTAGCACCTCATTGCATATGATTATTTGGAGAAATTGTTTATTTATGAGTAGAAGAATGCTGCTGGAGGTTGTAATGAAGGTCTTGATGGAACTAACTTATCTTTCTGGTGTATGAATTACTGAAGTCAAACCACTTTAATTTTATTGCCGAAGACAAATTGGATAAATGTCAGTTTTAGATGTTAAATTGTTAAGTTACAACATTTTCCTGTACTTAGTTTCTTCTTTCTTTTCAGTGTGAAGATCTGGCAGGGGCATGGTAGGGAATTGCTGAAGTCTTCAGAAGTTAGTCATGCTCCCTTTTCCTTACTGAAGGAGGTGAGTATTTGATAAAAAATTCATGTCAGCCTCTTTATTTAAGATGAAACTATAAAGGTGTTAATTAGATCTTTCTTATTTTTCTGTAGGTTATTGCTGTCAATTCTGTCTCCGTCTCCGTACTTTCACTTAAAATGCCAGTAGGATCCCCACACAAAATATACTTAGCTGTCGGAAAAGGATCTGGATCTTTTGAAGTATGGATTTGTGACATATCAACTGGCATATATGATAGAATTATCTCATATGAAGCTCATGACCATATTGTAAGTTTCTTATTGTTTATCTATCTTTTACCTCAAATGGTTATTTATTTGTGTGAGAATTTAACAGGTTACAGGTATAGCTTGGGCTTTTGATGGACACTGTTTGTACAGCTGCAGCCAGGTATTTAATTTTTGAAGCTTAATAGCATGTGAGTTGTTATTTTATTGACTTCACTAACTGTATTTTGTTTATGATCATTTTGTCCTTTTCTTGAGGATTTTGTTCTTCAATTGAACTGTATTCAGAATTTGATGGATTTACAATACATCTTCATTTCACTACTATAATTGTTTTGAGCACCTCTTAGCATTTTCGAGATGCACAAGGGTCTGATCTCTGGAAATAGAAGTTTTTCCCCGCAAAAAAATAAAAAATAAAAAAATGATAAATGCTCCATTTTGGTGAACATGAGTACATGAAAAAGTGATAAATGCTCCATTTTGGCGAAGATGAGTACATGATTTTACGGCAGTAAGGCTTTAGGTTTTCTATCAACCATCAGTATAAGACATTAGAGAGAGGCACTGCATTTGGATCCCTTACCATTCCTTCCACAACAAGCTTTTTATCCAATCTTTCAATCTTTAGTACTAAGTTGTTCCAGATAAAGAATTTAGATACACATCGATTATTATTGTTTGAGTGGCAAGGAATTTGAATACATGGCATGATTACTTTGTTAAATATTTGCATCCATTTAGGATAAGCACTTGCATATATTTTTTTTTTTCCTAGTTGGTACTCACACACGCATGCCTCCACTGAGGCTCGAACCCCTGACCCCTGACCTCTCTTTGAGAAGTGTGCTGTATAGGGGGCATAATAAGGGAGATATGATTGTTTACAGGTAAGAAAATTAGGCAGTTCTTTGACTATTGCCTATTTGGATGCTTTTAGGATAATTCTGTTCGTTGCTGGATTTTACATGGGAATTCTCTATCTGAAGTACCCATTCCTTCAAACATTTCTGGTGTGAAGAGCTCCACTGATGTAATGATGTAACCCTTCTTGTTTCCTTTCGTAAGATATCAGGTTCCTATTTCACCAAGATGTGAAATTTCTTTGCAGGTTCCAAATGTATTTGATTCATGCTTTGGCGTAGCAGTATCCCCTGGAAATTTGGTGCTTGCCGTGGTACGATATTTGAATATTTCCATCTGTTATGCAGTTTTCTTCTTCTGCAAGTTATGTAGTTGATGTTATCTTACCTATGCAACCGGGAAAGATTTTGTGTCTAATATTTCCATTTGAGTTTATCCAAGTCTATACATTATTTCATATTAGGTGCATCCATCATATTTGCACTTCACCTCATTGGCTTATTCCTTTCAGCTACTTGATATCTGATTTATACAAATTAAGGCCTTTTCTTCTTTGAGCTTCAAATGCATGCATACTCAATCCTCCAAGTTTGAATCATAATGTGTTTGCTCTTTGCTAACTCCTCATTGTCTATTCAGCTAAATATGCCTTTGGCACTATTAAGTTTTCCAAGGAGCCTTTGGCAATCTTTGCAACCTTCAAAAATCTCAAGGAAAAATGAAACAACTGTTTTCTTTGTCTAAGAGTCAAAAAAGGGATAAAGAGATTTTGAATCATATAATGAAAATCTTATCCTGATCATGGTCCAAAAACCCTTTTCGCCATTTAGCCGTATCAAGGGCCATATTTCCGGTGAACTTGCGTCATGTATATATATATATATATATAGTCTTTTTCATCTTTCAGCCTTTCTACATTCCTATTTTTATTGTATGTGTTCCACTGATATGTACTATGCATTGCATATAAGAAAACTATGCTTACGGTTTTTTTATTTTTTATTTTTTGCAACTAGTCCACAGTCACTATCGGTCGCATCTGTACCTAATCACACATGTATGTAATTTTTTTTTTGGCCTTGCTACTCATTCATCTTTGATTTTGCATTCCTTTATTATGTAAGATGTAAAATTGAAGTTTCTCTCCTTTTTAATCCAAGTGTCGTTCTAGTCTTTTTGTCTTCTCTCTCTCTCTCTCTCTTCCATTTTTCTGGATCTTAAAGGGAATTATATTCCTTTTGCTTTTTTCATAGTTGAATTATATTCCTTGGATTACTATGTAAAGCTTACAATATGGCAATAAGAAAAGATGACTCATATTATCAAGTGTTGTGGTTCCAAAACTAACAAATTTGTGCCTGATCTTTTCAGGCTCGTAGTTTTGATGCTGATCTATTAAATCCAATGTATCAGGCAAGGTGAAATTTTTTTCTCGTTGCATCTTTTTGTGCTGGAATATTCCACTACATACCTTGTGTGAACTCTCTATATATGCATATACATAAATAGTTAAAGCAACATAAACAAAATCTTGAAATTTATTGTCAGGTAAAAAGCCAAAGATAAAAGATACGAAACTTTAAAATGGGAAAACTACTTTTTTTTTTATTGCTTAGTTGTAGTTTTTACATTGAGAATTTGACTCATGTTGCAAAATCACTCAGGACTCAGAAGGCTGCTGTTGAGTTCTTCTGGATTGGTGGGCAGCAACTAGATGCCGCATATAACAGAGACCCAGAGTTTGATGTTGAAGCTTTTCCTGGTTTTCTAGAGAAGGATTTGAATTGTTGGGAATGTAATATTTTATGGTCTTTAAATCAATTTGAACAACTTGACAAGCCTCTGGTTGTTTGGGATGTTGTGGCTGCATTATTGGCTTTCAAGCAGTCTTCACCGAAGTATGTTGAACATGTAATAGCTAAGTGGCTGATCTCGTTCGTTGGCTTCCAGCTTGGCCTTTCTACTGCAAAATTCTTACCACATGTCTCTAGATCTCTCTCAAAGATCACTTCCCGCCAGCTGCACCTCCTCAACATTATCAGTAGGCATGTAATACTAGGAGAGCTGAAGGGAGATACAAATAACAAGAAACAGAAAAACTGTGAAGGATTATGTGGTGCTGAAGAGGAACTGACTTCGTGGATGGAGCTGCTTCTGAGTAGTGAAAGAGAACTCAGAGAAAGGCTTGTGGGTTTTAGTTTCTCTGTAGTTTTAAGTCTTATCTCCAATTCAAGAACCAATTTTGGTAAATTTGGATACTGGCATCCTGTTGGGTTAGCACAAATGGAGCAATGGGTTGCACTTAATCACTATTACCTACATGATGATTTGAAGCTTCTCACATCAGAGGTTGGAAAGCTTGATAAGAGGTATTACTTTCCCCAGGCTCCTAAGTATTTACTTTGTTTGTATAAAATCTGTTCTGCATTATGGATTCTTAATCAGCTCCATATGTCAGAGTTCTAAGGTTCAAATGTCAGAGGTCCGAGCTTTATCGAGCACTGCATCGTCGTTGTTAAAATAGCTATCCGGGTCGTAGGGTCGTACTTAAATTGCTAAATCGATCCGGGATTACATGAAAAATATCTTGGATGCAAGATTGTAGAATTATACAATCCTAATTCCTACCAATCCTTCTAAGTACTAATTGGTGTTGCTTTGTTCTTCCTTTGGGTTTATTTGGGCCTACAGCCCATTCTGGGCACAGAAATTTAAAGATTTTGAGGATAAAGCCCAACTCATAAGCCAACTTGCATTTAAAAGAATAAAATAGAACAAAAAGTATAGACCAACATCAAAGATAGTCATAATCTAGCTCTTAACTTCAAAAAGTGGAGAGGACTCTGTTTTCCGCCTATTCTTCACCCGTTCTGAACAAAGACAAAGACTTTGGGCCTATTTGGTTCAGTTTTCGGAAAAAGCTCTCAAGAACGTAGAAAATAGAAAAGTGTTTTCAGAGAACTATAAAAGGCAGTTCTTTGAAAACCGTGCCTTTTTTTTTGGATTGAGGGGGGGGGGGGGGGGGGGGAGTACAGTCACACCCCCTGAGGTTTGGCAAAAGGACAGAGAGATGAAACTTGCTAGCTTTTTGGACAAAGACACCCCTTGTGAGAAACTTCAACCAAACAAGGCCTTAAATCCACTGAAAAGGCAAAATTACCCCTCAATATTATAATCAAATTTATTATAAAATATCAAATATAATAAAAAGACACAATTACCCTCAATTTATTTCAGCCACAATTTGGCTGCCAAGTGCGCCAGATTAGACCAAACCACCTTCTCCCCCCCCCCCCCCCTTCTCTCGGCGTTCATCGCCCCGCCGCCGGCATCGCTACCATCAACACCCTATTCCCCTCTCTTTATATACACACACACACATACACACACAGAGACAAATATATATATATATCACCTCCTCATCTGCACACATCACCATCCCCAGTTCTCATCTGCCCACGAAAAGGGCTCTAATCGGACGGCAGAGGCAATGGCCACTTCAGCCTCCTCACCCTTGCAGGTGATGCTCGTCGGACTGTGCTAATCTGAACCTTATCGTTATCGGAGCTTGGTCCTCGCTGGATCGTTTAGGCTTGTCGGTCGCTAAACCTCACCTCACTGTTTAGTTCGTGGCCGCATCGTCATCGCCTCATCAAAGCTTGGTCTTCACTGTCAATTTCAGTCTCAGGCTCTAATTCCATTCCTTCACGCGTCTTTTTCTAGGACTGTACCATACGAATTGTGGTCCCAGGTTCTAATTCCATTCCTAAGATAAGGAAAGCTTCTTTAAGCAGATGTAGTTTGATTTTAGGCTCCGGATGCTAGTATCAGCAGTCAAGATGGAATCTTTGGGGGTCATAGTTTATGGTATTAGACCCGATTCCTCTCAGGAAACGGCACTTTCTACCATTCTGTTTTGACCGTCCTTACTCGTTGATTTTACCGCCGTTCAGATCCTTACTCTCCACGTGGGGAGGCTTGATGGTGTCACAGGTGAAAACATTTGTGATGATATTTTTATACATAACTCAATGATGAGTTTGTATTCACGATTGGGTGATAGTGGTTGTCGGAAATTGCAGGGGTATCCAATTGAGCACCTAATCAAAAAGACCCAATTTCATATTGTTTGGATTTTGAGTAGTTGGGTTTTGCTATACAAAAATATGTGGGTATATATGTGGAATTTGAACCCCTTCAGTGTTTGTATGTGTATATATATATATATAGACATGTATGTGTGGCTTTCTGTGGTGGCAGAGGGCTTAAGTCTACCTACCATTGGTGTTTCCGTATATATATATATATATATATATAGAGAGAGAGAGAGAGGAAGAGGGTGAGGGCGAGGGTGGTGGCGGTGACGGTGGCCATTGTCCAGACCATCGCCGCCGCCGCCTGCTCCATTGAGAGAGAGAAAGAGAAGGTATTAGGTAGTATTACCATATTAGGTATTGAGAAAGGAGACTTTTTTTTTTTTTTTTTCTTTTTTTTTGCGTAAATTGTTCATGAGGGTAGATTGGTCCAATTTATTAAATTGTAGAGTTAAAAAGTCTCCTAAACGGTCAAAGGGTAATTTGGTCAATTTCTCATGTCAGGGGTGTCTTTATCCATTTTTGAACCTTCAAGGGGTGTTTTTGTTCAAAAAAACAAGTAAGTTTCACCTCTATGTCCTTTTGGCAAACCTCATGAGGTGTTGTTGTACTTTACCCTCTTTTTTTTTAATTGAGTTTCTAGAAAACAAATTTCAAAAAACTGCAACCAAACAAAAATCTGTACAGTTTCTGATTTCCAGAAGACTAAACCAATTAGGCCTTCCCCCTCCTCTCTCTCGTTGTAGACAACTAAATTTGTTTCAAGTGTTTGCCATGTGTCTTACTCTGTTATTATCTTTTTATGCAAATTGATTTTTTCTAGAATGTTAATCATGTTTATTCTCTATTTATTTTGAATTTTTTTTTTTCTATTTAAAAAGTTAATTTGAGTTATTTATCTCAGTTGAAATAACATTTATTGGAAGGGGTGCATGTTTACACAATCATGATGTTGGTAATCCTATAACTCGATTTAACCTTTATGCAACTAGCTGTTAGGGACCAGCTGTGACGTTCAAGATTTCAATGGTGTCATACCACCTAAGAAACACGGACACTCCAAAATGGGCGAAGAATCCGTGTCCGACACGTGTCGGACATGGACACGCGTCGGACACGCCCCGACACGTGTCGGACACGCCAAAAAACGTGTCTGGAATTTTTTTATTTTTTTAAATTTTCGGACACGGCTTGGACACGGCTCGGACACAGCTCGGACACGGCTCGGACAGCTCGGACACGGCTCGGACAGCTTGGACACGGCTCAGACACGGCTCGGACACACTTTTCTGGATTTTTTTTTTTTTTTTAAAATTTTTAATGTTCTATTTTTTGTTTTGTACTACCCTAAAGATGCTGATATATATATATACTAACCTAAAGATGCCACAATTCGCCGTGTCCGTGTCCTAAAGATGCTGATATATATATATACTAACATATCAGTGATATATATATATATATTCCAACCTAAACATATCAGTGTTTTTTTTAAAAATTATTAATGCTGATATATATATATATATATATATATACTATTCGCCGTGTCCGTGTCCTAATTTTTTTGGATTTGCCGTGTCGCCGTGTGCGTGTCGTGCCGTATCCGTGTCCCATATCCGTGTCCGTGCTTCTTAGCATACCACATTCTCTTGGCAACACTGACAACAGAACATTGCTTTTGTATATGTCAATAAACAACAATTGTGTGATCAAGACTGGAAGTTCTTATTTAATTTCTAACATTTTGAATATGTTTTGGGTTTCATTGCTCATTTTTGGGTTTCATACTAGTCTTTTTTTTTACATTACTATGTATTACTTTATCATGTTTAACTCCTTCAACAGCATTCTCCACTCCACTTTTGAATACGTAGCAGAAGAACAATGCAGCTATTGCTCAGCATCTATTCCATTTGAATCTGTGGAAGCTGGCTTTTGCCGAGGTGTGAAGTGTGATGGAGGAGTCAGTCAGAGCCATAAACTAGCACGGTGTTCTGTCTCTATGCAGGTCTGCCCTACTAACCCCTTATGGTTTTGCTCAAGCTGTCAAAGATGGGCTTCAAAATTGGCACCCTGGACTCTTTTTACAATGCGTAAACGTCCTTCAGATATCAAGTCTTCCATCGAATCTTCCACACTGGAAGTATCTGCAAAACCCTTATGCCCCTTTTGTGGGATATTGCTACAAAGATTACAACCAGAGTTTCTACTCTCGCCATCACCCGTATAACCTAAATATTTTATTTTTATAACAATTGTATCATAAGTGACGATTGTTGTATTTAGGTTGGAAGTCTCCCGTAAAGGACGGGCCTAACTAGTAGTAGTACTAGGATAAACAAATTAGTGTATAGTGTTGGTGAAAATTGCTGGAAGCAATGAAGCATTTAGATGTAAATTTAGTGATGGGAAAGAATCATGAGCTTGAATGTTGTGATGAAACGAATTCTCTAGATATGTTTATTTCAAATTGTTCTAGTCTAATTTAAATTTGAACTCTGAAGGCTTGGAATATAAATTTATACTTGGTCAAACCTTCTGATTGTGTGAAAGTTTCATGCCCTAGTTTTTACATAGCCCTAGGCTGGGCTTTGCTGAATATGTGACTGGAACCTCTGTTTTGCTGGACTGACAATGCGCTAAAACCAGAAATAGTCTCTGTTGTGGGATTTCGTGATGTCTATGGTTGACTCAAATATAGAAACTTAGAAGGTCATAATTAAAAGAGGTTGAGCATAGTTGTCAAATCTTTTACGCTGTTATGTGGTCATATTAGACAGTCAAAAATCTTCATCTTTTGTTCAAAATTGACAGGTGTGGTCATAGTCATTTGTCCAAATTCAATGGTCAGATGGAAATTTCACCCCTTTGTTTGATCATAAGTAATAGTCCTTCCATTCTAAAATTACAAATTTAACTTTTTTACATTGAACCTATAAAAATGCACTCATTAGGGGTAAATGGGTAAATTTGATAATGAATTAAGTAAATTTATATTCATATCCATTTATCATGGTTCGCGGTATCGGTCGTGGTTGTAGGGTTACGGAGTTGAACAAAATCAGTGTAAATTGACTTATATAAATCGCATATCAGACTTAAAACGTAAACAAGTATTGAAGGTTTTGGTAGATATCTGTGATGTTTCTTCAAAGCTTTAGAAATTCAAATTAGAAGTGGCCTAGTCCTTATGTTTGTGGTCCCCTAACCCACCTTTATTCCTTTCCTGGTTAAAGACAAACCCTAGTTTCCTTCAATGGAGGACCATTTCAGATGATATTCTAGGTAATTGTAAGTGATTGAAAGGCATGTATGATGTATGCTTTAGCAAATAAGGGAAATTTTAGTGTCAGTGAGAGCCCTGAATTTGGAGTTCTTTGTTTGCCAGTTTGATACAACAAAACCACCACATTTGACTTTGTTGTTTTTTGTTCATTGACTGTGTAAATTAAAGAGTGTAAAGAGGGTTGTATCTCGGAGATTTGAATTCCATGTTATACACCTTTTGTTGTTGTAGTGTACTGTAAACACCGACACACCCTAAATCAAGGTGCAACACTGTTACTTTTGGGTTAAGTGCGGAAACATCTTTAATGTATATTCCGTGTAATATTTTTATCTTTATTTTAAAATTTGTGCTAATAACTCCCTTATTCTTTTAACATTGTGCAAAAACACCTCTAAAACAGATATCTGACATAAAATAATATTGTAATACTCATTTTACTCTTTTATTCTTTTGAAAATACTCAAGGGGGTGTATATGCTAATAATCTTATAGTATATGGGTGTTATGTGTACATTTAACTTACTTTTAAGGATTTTTCTGTCACATTTATAAAAAAGTAATAATAATAAATTTCTCTCTTTATGTTTTTCCTAATAGTGTATTATCTCTATCTGAGTCTAAGTTGAGAGTTATACATTTTCTAGGACTGACAACTCATAAGTTAGGAAGTTCTAATATATGTATTTTTTTTACTAGTCAAGTAGAGAAAAAGAATATCTCAAAAAAAAGTTATTTATTTCCATTGTTGTCATATTAATGGAGAGTATATCATATTGAATAAAAACCACGGTTCTTTTTATAATCATAAAAAAGAAAAAATTATTCTCAATTAAAATTTGATATAGTTATCTTTTGTCATTAAATATATAATTAAAATATTAAATTAAAGATTCTTATTCATTATATATATATATATATATATATATATATATATATATAATTCCTTACATAGTAAAAAATGAGTATTCGAATTCAAAACAATAATAGTTTTTAGAATAAAGTGTAGAAAACACCCTATTAGAGTGCGATATATAGCGAAATGATGTTGTTTAGTACATAAGGAGTGCGATAGGCACCCTAAGCATATATATTTTTAAATAATATGTAAAATGTGGATATAAGGGTAATTTAGGTAAATTCCATCTTAAATGTGTCAGAATGATCCTATTTGCACAAATTAAAACTTTGTGAAAATTTTTTGCATATGAAAAGTGTAATTCGTACTGTAAATATATTATAAGAGTATTCTCTGCACTAAACTTCACTTTTACACCTATAATTTATATGTTGAATATATATATATATATACATACACACACACGCGCACACACATGCACACACTTATCACACTAAAAATAAAATAAAAATTTCCTCATACCTCGAAGATTGTGACATCTAGGATACAATTGTGGATTAAATTATGAAAGCTAAGGGGCAATGAAATAGCAATATCATTCACGTGCCAAGAGCATGACTATTGAGCTTGTTTCGGAGTAAATCAATTTTCCCATTGTTCCAATCATACAAGTGGTCCACTGCATGAATGGTCGAGAATGGAGTAATTGGTGGATCATCATCCAGTTAGGTGGGGTCCATTGAAGGAAGTCCACTGTATGTTCACATTGGTAGGAAGAAGACAATCAAGTTGCTATGTTCAGCTATATTTTTGGCTATTCCCCTATTACAGAAAATGTAATCTGTCCATCCAACATTAAATTTTGTTTACAACTTTTGAGGTGGCACTAGCAAAATTAAGGCAAGAGGTTGAGATAATTAAACAATCATTATGTTACAGTACGTTAACTTAGTAGTTAGTACCTAACAATATCTATCCATATATATGTGTGTGTGTGTTTGTGTGTGTTTGTGAATCCACAGCAGAATTCATACTCGTATAGCTACTGAAGACCACCTTTCAGAGTCAAAGTGGGGGTTCTAGAACTGAAACAGGATAAAGAGTGGTAAATTTGTAAATTCATTTCTGTGTATTATACAAAATAAATAATGCTTTCCTGTGTTCGCATTTCATAATGTTACATGAATGTAAAAAAAAATAATAATAATAAAATAAAATAAAGTGCGAGGCCACTTAGGTTAGTTATGAGTAGGTCGGTGCCTCACTGTAAGAAGTAATGTCACGAAGACGACTCTTACTTATTACTACTCCGTAGTTAATTGGATAAAATTTCTTTTGAGTGTTTAGTATAGTGAGTCAGATTTACACTTTTATTATTTTCCATTTAGAAAAGGGCAATTATATATTTTTCGAATTTGGTGAATGCCGAATAAGGAATATTTGGAGAATGCCGAATAAGGAATATGTCGGTGAGACGATTGAATTTGAATCTCATCACATAATGTCAAGATATTTTTATGCGATGGGGTTCACAACTTCACATCCTTACTCACATAATATCTGTGAACATCTTTCAAATCCAAAAAATGTATTATCTTTGTTTCTAAAAAAGTGTCGCTTTTAAAGTACGGTGGTAGTTTAATTTGTGAGAGTTACGATTTTTCAAAAATGACACTTTTTATGGAATGGAGGGAGTATTATTTTTCTTTTAAAAAATAAATACAAATAGATATTCCAAAGAATAAAAGGAAAGTCGACATCTTTCAAATTCATGTATATTTTTTTTTCAAAAAAAAAAAATAATAATACAATTAGACATTCCAAGGAATAGGAGTAAAATCACATTTTGAATTTAAATTGGGATTTGAAATTAAAATAATAAGAGAGAGAGAAACTTGTTGTACATTCTTTGAATTTGAAATTTGGACTTGCCATACATTCTTTGAATTTATATGCTAGAAAAATGTAGTGAAGCAACTGCACTCGCCTAGTTATGAGTGAGCAGGTCCGTGTCTGACCCTAATAAGTAATGTCACCGGGACTCTTCTTCCTTGTGATAACATCTCTGTCCTTTTAAGTGTTTGGTATAATGATTCAGATTGACAATTTTATTATTTTCCATTTACAAAAAAAACGTAATTATACATTCTCCACATTCTCCGAATTTGGAATATGCTGAATAGGAAATATACGGTGGGGTGATTAAATTTGTGTCTCCTCACATGATGTCAAGAAATTATTATCTGATAGGGTTCACATTCCTACTGGAGTTCACATCCCTACTCCCATAACACCCATTGAGACCTTCCAAATTCAAAGAATATATTATTTTTCTTCAAAAATAATACAACTAGACATCCCAAGGAAAAGGAGGAAAATCACATTTTGAATTTTACTTCGGATTTGAAACTAAAATGATGAGAGAGAAAAAACTTGTTACTGCATTGTTTGGAAATAGCAACCTTAAGCAGAAGTAATGTTTTTGCTTTTGGAGTTTGTTCAACACTATTTAAAAACTTGTTTGGTAACATAAATTTGTTATAAGATTTTTAAAAGCAAAAATATGAAAGTATGTTTGGTAAAACGTGTTGTAAGTTAAAAAATTTGAATGGTTAGTTAAAAATATTTTGTTTTGTTTTGTTTTTTTTTTTTAATGAGCATTGTTTTGTTATGGTACGAAAGTAAATAAAAATATCTTTTGATGCTTCTAATATTGACCTTAATTTTAGAAGTACGGTACTATTCAAAATTATAACACATATTACCAAACATGTTTCGTGTTTTTGCTTCGTTATAATACCCTTATAAAAAGTAAAGAACACGAAATAAAAGTGCTTGTCAATCCGGGCCTAAGTTATTAGGATTAAAGGTTATTACAAAGAAAAAAACCAAAAAAATAAAAAGGCCAAAAAAGGACCTACAACTATTTAAGATTGGATGGTTTGTTGTACTTTAGAATTTGCATATAACAACCAAACGACAGCGTTAAGTTGGACCAATACGTGTAGAGAAGAAGTGGGCGAGTATAGAGAGATTTGTATAGATGAGAAGGTATGGTTCGGTTGTGGCAAAAAAAATGATGCCCTTCTCAAGGAAAAAAAAACTGATAGCGTCTGTCACCACAGAGGATAAAGACAGTTTGAGGAGCACCTAATGCGCTCTAACACGTGGCACCTTGACATGACCTTTACCACCATAAGGTCCATGTGGAGAATCTATGGCATGGATACAAGACAAGACTCGAGCTCTGTCTATACTAGATTAAGACCTTTATCAATATCAAATATATATATATATATATATATATATTAATGAATCTCTTTTAAATTTTATCATGAGAAGAATTACCCTCTCTCTGTCCCTCATCTATTTAGGTTTGGAACACTTGCTTGATTTGTTATTTTAAAAAATATTCTCTAAATTAAAAATTATTTTAACATAACAGAGTTTTTAGTTTTCTGAACAAAACAAAGTTTTTGTATAATTTTTTATATTTAGTTTTTAAAAAATTATTATTATTTACAGAGTTATAAATTAATCAGACCCTAATTTTTTTATTTTTCAAATAATAGATTGATAATTTGAAGTTTTTTTGCGGGACACAATTGGTTCTATGTAGGAGTATAAATAAATAAATCATTATAATTGATAAACTGGATCAAAGTAAGTTAAACTGTTTAATCCCAATTTTAAAAATTAAAGAAACGTTAATTACAGTTTAATTCTGATTTGCATTTAAAAAAAATCAAACCAAAGCGAATTGAACTAGTAGTAATAAATATAAAACAGTTTAATCCCACTTTTAAAAATTAAAGAAACAGTTTAATTCTGATTTGCGTTTCAAACAAATTAAACCAAAGCGAATTGAACTAATAGTAATAATTACTCATATATATATATATTATAAATTGTGTAATACACTTATTCAGAAAATTAAAAAACCTACTATATATCCTACAATATAACTAACCATATAGTATCATAATACATATATTCATCATATATATTTCAATTTTTGGTTTTTTATTTTATTAGTAAGTATATGTATATTATATAGAAAAATTCAAAAACCAAACCAATATTTTCTACGGTTCAGTTCCAATATTTTTTGAATTGTTGGAATTGGTTTGGTTCTGCTTCGTTATAGAATCAGGCTAAATCGGGAAAAAAATAAAATATATTTAGATAACTAGACACATAAATATTTATTGCGAGCACTGTAGTTGAAATGATTCATGAACTCGCCTTTAAATAAGGCACATTTTGAATATGATAAAATAGCCCACGGAATACATTATTCACACTCCCTTATATTAAAATCGTCCTGTTTTGAAAAAATTATGTCAAAATAGCTTTATAAGAATAAGTCAAAAAATCAAATATAAGTCTTTATTCTGTGACCAGTAATAGCTTATCCATTTACTTGAAAATGTAAACTATTAAGTAGAGTTAACATTCAGTCCATATATTCTTAATCCCTCTTCCATCCAAATATGATGTGGGACAAAACCTCTAACATTCTCCTCCATCCGAACTTACAACACCCTCGTTGCGGTTGGGTCATCCTGTCTACCCGAGTGCCTTTTGGGCCGAGCATTTGGCATGGCAGTGGATCAAGGACTAAGTCTAACTTTGATACCAACGGTAAATAGTAAGCACTTATCCATTTATCGAAAAACTTAAACTATTAGGCAGGGTTAACACCCAACCCATATATACTTAACCACTCTTCCATTCGGATCCGACGTGAAACAAACCTCTAACACCTATCCTGTCATAAAATCTGACACATCTTAGAATTTAGGAATAATTACACTTACCTCCTTATAAATTGCCTAAATAATAAAATTCACTCCTCTAGTTTCAAATATTAGACTGACATATCTTGTTCAGGTTCGAAATTTACTTAAATCACATAATGTCCTTAAAAAGCTTGAAATGCTATTTTATCCATATGTTGAACTAATAAATTTATTATGAGTATAATAGTCATTCAGCACATTTTAGTCAAAATTAACACTAACCAAAAACGTCACTGTTAGTTAGGTAGCATATAGGGGAGATAAGTGTAAATGTATTATGGGTATAATAATCATTTAGCACATTTAAGTCAAAATTAACACTAACCAAAAATGTCACTGTTATTTAGGTAGTAGTATATAGGGGAGATAAGTGTAAATATTCCTAAAAATTAATATAATTAAAAAAAGAAAAAAAAAAAAAGAAAAAGAAAGAGAGAGGGCTTTATGGATACTGCCATGAGGTGCATCTCATTATAATTTTTATAATATAATAACATGTGTATTCTTTTTCCGCTATGAAAACTTAGGCCAACATAAAGTGAGCTGGGATTAATTTTAGATAAAATTAGTTTTAGAATCATTGTATTAAGGTTATATAGATAATTACGATTTATAAGTGTATATACAATTTAAAATTGTAATGCTGCTAAATTTTCAGTGATAAAAATTATCGTTGATTTAAAAAATTGCATCCCAACCGTTTTTCTAGTCGTTTGAAACAAGTGCCGAGATTGGTGCAGGGCAAAGCAATGTCTTTGAATACTAAAAGTGATGATGTACATGTATTATAGAAATGGTTTTTATTTATTTTTTATTATTTATAATTTAATTGAATTTATTTAATTTGTCACTTTTACCTAAAATTCAAATAATTACTCATAAAACATCAACATTAATTAAGGCTTCATTTGTTTTGATGTAAAATATTTTTTATTTTATTTTTTTAGGTAAAATATATATTTTTTAATTTTTTAATATTTAACAAATGTCTTAATTACTCATAAAACATCAACATTAATTAAGGCTTCATTTGTTTTGATGTAAAATATTTTTTATTTTATTTTTTTAGGTAATATATATATTTTTTAATTTTTTAATATTTAACAAATGTCTAGGTCGAGATTAACATCGAATCCATCGGGTAGGAAGTATAAAATAACTTGCCAAAAATTGATGAATAAATTATTTTGTTAAATTTTAATATTTTTTTTCTTCTTAAATATTTTATGACAACCAAAGAAAACAGAAAAAATATTTTACGCTCAAACAAAGAAAGCCTAAATCATAATATTTGTGTGTGTGTGAAAATCAAAATTAGAATGCCCTAATATGTGTTTACAAAGTCGTGCAAGTTATTATTTAGATATCTTTTTTTGGATAAAAAGTGATTTTTATTTTTTATTTTTTATACATAAGTGGTAATATTTCACCTAATTTATTATATATACGCAATGGATTCTGAATTTTAATATGATTTTAATTTGAGGGTCTTAAATTTGCATTGAGGTAATAATAATAATAATAATTATTATTATTATGAAACACATATAATAGGTAATGCATTAAAAATTAAAAATAATATCAAATCATATCTTAGAATTAAAAATCGGAGGAATTTAACTAGAAATGGTACTCCAAAGACAACATAAAAGTATTTTTATCCCTAAATTAACCATTAAACACATAGCATAAGTTGTACAATAAAAATTGGCAATGAATATTTTTGTCAACCAAGAAGTGTACTAAACTCTTAACCACCATACTCTGACTTAAAATGATACTAAAATGTAGGCTAACACTTTTATTACAATTAAACTTCAAAAAAAAATATATATATATATTATTATATTTATTTTTTATTCCAAGTTTCCAACTAATATGTTTTCAAAAAGAGGGTTCATACATCGTGTCCATTAAATAAATAAACACATTACATCAGTGTGGTACTTTTTTATATGAAAAACATATCTATCATATTAAAATAAACACAATGTGACGGAATAAACTAAAAAAATAAAGAAGAAAAAGAATCTCATGATGTATGTTACATTATTACATATCATCCATGACATACATACACCCAATTTTTTTAATTTTTATTTTTAGAATTGAAGAAAAAAACTCGTATGATGTATGTTATATATATCATCATCCATGACATAATATATATCATACATTCATCTTTTTATTTTATTTTTAATCTTTTTTTAAAAAAAAAAAAAATGGGTTGCAGAGTCTTCAGTATTCATCATTTTGGTACGTTGTGAGGAAAAGTCCAAAAAGGTTGAGTAGCCAAAACGGACGATCCGAAGGACACACTACACCCCTCTTTTCTCTCTCTAGAAACCTTTTCTTTCTCTCTCTACAATTCTCTCTTTTCCTTTCTCTCTCTATATATATTTTCTCTATCTGCTGAATCAGTAAAATACAACACGCAGAAGAAGAAAAGTAAAATGCTCTGTTTTGCTCTCTTCGCTTCTCTGTTTTCGCTTTGATCTGTGGTGGTTTTGACTCTGATCAATGGACACGTTTTAGGCTGATCAGGTATGAGTATCACTTTCCCGAGAAATGCTAGTTTCTTCTAGTTTTTCTAGGGCAAATTTATTTGTTTGATCGATCGCAAAAAACTTTTACAGAACCAGAATTAGAGAAGGAAAAGTCAGAAAAGTGTCGGAGGGGTTCGATCATGGCTGTTGTTGAGAATGCTGGGCTGAATGTTGGCTCGTGGAATCACAGCGATTCGCGTGCGCCGAACGATGCCGATGAATCGAAGCCGAATCATATTGGGGCACCACAGGGAAAAAGTAACCCTAAATTGCGGTCAAACGATCAGAATTTCCACGAGATCGTTCGTCATCAGCTACAGCAACAGAAGATTATTCCACAGCCGACGACGACGACGACGATTGCTCAGACGAACGGTGGTATCACTCAGAAGACTCAGATCGCTCTGATGCAGCACAGTATCAACGGCAATGGTGTTCAGGATCATCAGACTTTGGCTAATCATCAGCGTGAGGGTTTTAAGCGGGAGATGAGGGATTTGGAGGAAATGTTGTCCAAGTTGAACCCTATGGCTGAAGAATTTGTGCCGCCTTCACTCGCAAACCATGGACCAGTAATGCCCTCTGGTGGACACTTCGGTTATACTAACAATTTTGTAATCAACCCTAACTCAGGCATCGCCAATGGAAACACTGGTAGACGGGTATATTTGATTTCTCCTGTCTTCCTTTATGTTTTGTTTGGTTGCTGAGAAAATGTGAAAAAAAAAAAAAAAAAAGTGATTTTGGGTTTTGATACTTACACTTTCCTTATCAGGGTCGGAAAAAAGAATGGATTTTATGTTGGGAAATTAGATTTTATGTTGGGAAATAAAACATAATGAATATCACTCTATCGGTATTTTGGGTTGTTCTAGTTAAATTTTTATTTTTGGAAACTAAAAGAAGATCAAGCCATAACAAATGAGAAGCTATAAGACTTAATTCCAACATAATTACTCTGATATAGCTAGCCCTTTTGGGTACTTGAATATTTCCTAACTGCTCTGGTGCATTTACGGTTATTGCTTCTGTGAACATAGTAGCTAAATAATCCCAACGTGTTACATAAGGCAAATATTGTATAATTGTTCGGTTTTCCGCAATCTTTTCCATCCCTCTGTGTAAATAACCCAATATTGGTTCGTTACAGATGTACGGGGTCGGGTAGTTTCTTGGTTTTATTTATGTGTTTCTTTTTCTTTTCGACTGTCTTGTTTTTACCAGTGTAATATCTTGTTATTTTTGCTGATGGTTTTAGTTTGCAACTCTATGTTCAGAAGAAAAATAACTCTAATGGAAAGCGAAGGCTGAATAGCAGGACTAGTCTGGCCCAGCAAGAAGAGGTAATTAGGAGGACCGTATATGTATCTGACATTGATCATCAGGTAATTTGTTTTTGGTTGTCATTATTTTGTTTCTTTTGTAGGGTTGGCTTTGTGCTTTTGGTTTTTAGTATTTCTTGGTTGTGAAACAATCTGATGAATGCTTGATTTTATGTCTTCATGTAGGTTACTGAAGAGCAACTTGCAGGTCTTTTTATTAGTTGTGGACAGGTGACAATGTTTCTTTTAGTTATCACATTGACACATCTTTATATTTGTTATTTATGCTAATGGAGGTCCATGTTTCTGAATAAAATCCCCTTATTTTTGTGCTAAAGGTTGTTGACTGTCGTGTTTGTGGTGACCCTAATTCTGTTCTTCGTTTTGCCTTTATTGAGTTTACTGATGAGGGTATGTTGATGACCTTCTTTTACCATTCAATATATTTTTGATGTTTTTTGGTGGTGTTGGATTGATTTATTGGGATATCTTTGCAGAAGGTGCAAGGAATGCTTTGAGTCTGGCAGGAACTATGCTTGGATATTACCCAGTCAGGGTGTTACCTTCAAAAACTGCTATTGCACCTGTTAATCCAACATTTTTGCCACGGGTGAGAAGTTTCTTTACTATGTTCAGTCACGTTTGACATGCATCATTCGTGCACTACGTTCGTTGCTTACTACTTGGAAACTGATTGGTATTATGGTCTCTAGTCTGAAGATGAGCGTGAGATGTGCTCAAGAACTATTTATTGTACGAATATTGATAAGAAGGTAACTTTAATATTTGCTCTGAATCTGGTTAAAGAGCTATATGGAATTCTCTATTTGATTTTAATGTTTACTTTATGCAGGTTACTCAAGCAGATGTCAAACTCTTTTTCGAATCCATTTGTGGAGAGGTTTGTAGCTACTATTATAAGTAACAGACCTTTTTCTGCCACTCCTCCATGAATTCATCATACTCATTGTTATGGATTATCTTATCTGATACAGGTTCACCGCTTGAGGTTGCTTGGGGACTATCATCACTTTACTCGTATTGCTTTCGTTGAGTTTGTAATGGTAATTACTGCAAGCTTTTAATCATTACAACTTGAGTAGTCTTTTTTCCTCATGTAACACACAGTGCCTTGAATGATTTAGTGACAATTGCACAAAGCCTTTTCTTGCCATATGTCTTTTTATTTTAACTTAAATAAATCTCGTAGTTAATGCTTTGAGATTCAAATTGTCTCAACATCAATTATGTTTGGTTTGTGTCCTCCTCTCTTCAGTTTTTCTTTTTGACCTACATGATATCTTCTTATTAGGCTTACAATTTTGCAATGTTTATTTTTTTTACAAATACATCTTGGAAATTGGGCCTTAAGTTGATTTGGACTTGATTGATGATAATTTGTGAACCCCAAGTCTTTGGGTAATCTATGTGAAGAACCAGTTTCTTGTTTGCATAATATGATATTTTTGGTGAAGGATTATAAAGATACATATTTACAAATACTACTTTATTTATTTTTTCAGAAGTGGTAGTTTTGATTGCGAGCATCTCCATTGAAATAATTGAATAATGTGATTTCATGGCTGAAGATGTGAAACATGTGGAGAAAGAACAAAGGTTTTTTGGACTTAGTTTGTTGGAGGTTGTATATGAGCTCTAATGAAATTTAAAATGCTGATGCATTGATTTGGAGCATTTTCATTATAACACACTGTTGAAATTAAATAATGTTAGGAAAGAATTGTCTCTGGTTATAGTCAGGTGGCTATGGAATGAGTGAGCTTGACTTAAAAGGGTTTAATCACACAAGTCATTCTGATTGGGCTGATCAGTTTGCTGTCTTGGAATAATTAACTTAAAAGGCCTAATCTCAACTATCTGGGTTTAATCACACAAGTCATTCTGATTGGGCTGATCTGTTTGCTGTCTTGAGGGCATTTGGGCTTGTATAAGTGGAGTCATCTTGTAATAAAAGATTGTCGCTTTAACATGTATTCTCATGTTTAGGAACAACAGTTCGAGAGGTAGTGGTTAGCTCCTGTACTTGTCTGGGTCATCCAGGGAGATTGTGTGCCCATCACAATTGCTTTTGCTCGTCTATCTCAGATGTTTAAGTCATCCTATTAGCCGAGGTCATTGTGAACCACTTTTTGGCAATCAGTCTGCTACTTGGAAGACTTTTGGACTTTATTCAAATGTGAGTGCATGAGTCATGTTGTGCTGCTTTCAGGGCTCAGCAGCTTGAAAGATGTTTAGTCCCTTGGTGTGCGCCTTGAAATGGGATTTGGACCTTTTTACAGGGTGCAACGTCTTGCTTTGTTTAGGAAACATATTGCTCAATGCTTTTGGCTCACTTTGAGGATTTAAACACGTATTATCTATAACTTGGAATTTATCATCTTCTCATTGAGTGGGAGTCACTACGTTCTTTGCTTATACATAAGGCAACCATCTAAGTTAGATTTTGTCTAGAATTGGTGTTTTCTCCTATTTTTTGTAATTATTTATTCATTAATAGAATCCATTTAATCATCCGGACATCATTATGTAGCCATCTTGTTTCTTGAGTGCCTTGCATTTTGTAAGACATTATCGTAAAGCATGATAGTCTTATTAGTTGTTTGCCAATCTCAAAGTGCTGAATTGCATCTATATCAGTCGTTAAATGGGGCAATATGTTATTAAATCATCTGTTCCCTTCTTCCTTTTTATATGATAATTGAAGATGGCAGAAGTTGTCACTCTTAGATATCCTCTGGTAAATTTTTACAAAATTACATTTTGTAGATTATGTCCTGGTTCTGCACTAACTTCGGAGTCCGTAGTATCTTCTGTCAATTGTCACTGATCTGATCTAATCAGTACTACTGTATACTCTACTAGTATTGTGGTAGACTTTAACTTTTCATGAACAATACTGAAACATCAGGTTTGTTTTGAACCCTGTTATCCTTGTTTCTTGAGTGCTTTCAACTTCGGGTGTTTGATTTATGTGAAATTAGCTCCCTTTTTATTTCAAAATTCTGCATGAAACTGATTATTCTTTGTTAGGTCAATAGGACTTGTGTTGGCTATTTAGTGGATCAAAATTAGGGTCTGTAATTTTGTTTTATTTTTAGGTAAGCTATAATTTTAGAAGTTACTGTCAAGTTAGTTACCTCTTTGTCAAGGTTAATGTTGGAATTCAAGCTTCAACTAGCGGCTAAATCGTAATCTTTGACATCAAGGGTACAAAGGTAAATTGACACTACTATATGCACTCACCAATTAGGATTCATGCAATCATATATTAGAATTTCACATTTGCATGTTTGATTTTGAAAAAACCTAATTGAATTACATAAAATTGTTTTTGTAAACTTGCTAAATTTTAAAATCTTCCAAGTATAAGGCACAGGGCACTTCAATCAATAGACATTAATTCTTGATCGATCGAGCTGGTCGAAACAACAGTCACTTTAGGTTTGAAACTTTAAGGGTAAAGTGCAAGAAACCCTCCTGCTATATAAAAAATTGCGCACCAAACACCCATCCTATTTAGTATGAGCATATAACGTGTGCAAATTGCCCCCTCCGTCAATTCTGACCAAAAATAAAAAAAAAAATCTGAAAACCCCAAAATGCCCCTTTTAAATGACCAGAATGCCCCCCACAATCTTCTATATATATATATATATATATATATATATATATATATTGATAAGTACAATCTTCTATATATTTTAACACCCTTGTGCCGTGTTTGGATGCCCCTCTCTCTCTCTAGCAACATCTCTCTCTCTCTCTCTCTCTACATGGGTATCATTTTGGTTGCATAGCATTTGGGTCTATGGGTAACACTTGGCAAGCCGTTCAATATGCATGCAAATGGATCTGCATTTGTTTTGTGATAACAGGAGATGACAAAGTCTACTAATGGGTTATGGTGTTGTATGGGAATTAGGCATTGTTTGCACGAAACCAACCCGGCACTGCCATCTTGAGATTACGTGCTTGCATATTTAATACCCATTATATATACACACTGACGCATGTACAAAATATTTGCATTTGTTATGATCCTTGAGATTATATGTGCAAGGAAATGGTGGATAACCCAAAGTAGTAACTAATGCCCATGGCTGCAACCAAACTGGTGTGTATATAATGTGCATATTTATACATATAAAGAAAGAGAGTGTTCTGTGTACATGTTGTAGCTTTTTGTGTGTATAGTTACACACACATATATATGTATATATATATATGTATGTATGTATGTATAGAGAGAGAGATGGCAGAAAATGAAAATGGAGAGAGAGAGAGAGAGAGAGAGAGATTGAGAGAGAGAATGGGTCCTTTTTGGACATTTTGCTTCTTCATTTTTTTTTAAAATTTATTTTATTTTGTTGTAAGGGTATTTTAGAGATTTCAATTGGTAAATTGACAGAATGTCCTTATTTGCACAATTTCAAAAATGCAGGGGATTAATTGAATGGTAGGGCGGTATTTGCACAATTTTTATATAGGAGGGTTTGTTTTATTGTTTTTGTTTTTTTTTGCATATGTATTTTTTCCTTTTTTTAATACACTTTTTTTATTTTATTTTTATTTTTTTATAAATTCCCTATTACATTAGAAAATATAGACAGAGAGAGACACGTAAGCTAGAGAGTTTTTATGTAAAATTGTGTGCATATGTATTTTTGTTTTAGCATTCATTAATCATATTGCATTAGAATGGCGAGTGTAATTTATGAGTGTTGACATAAAAATTGTTGCGGAGCTGTATTGAAGAGTTCAACACCAACAATCAATCAATCAACCAAGATTGAAGTGGAGGACTAGTCTTGAGATCAGAATTGCTATTGAAAAAGCAGATTCGTGAGGAGCAAAATTTGTTGACAGAGTGAACTGCGTGCCTAGAGACTCCAGTGGAGAGTGGATCAGTCTGTGTTAAGAGGTAATTAGGGATTCTAGGGTATGTGAACTTTAACGTTAAAGTGGATTTTTTTTATCTGACTGGACTAGGTCCCATCGTTTGTTTCCCATTTGAAATTTTCACGTCTTGGTGTCCATTGTTCGTGCTTTACCTTGCTTTATTTACTTTTGATTGAATGGTTATGATTAGCATAATGGATTAATTTGTATTAAATACTTGATGAGTTGATGTTAGTTTAATTTGAATTGTTGGTAAATTAGTTAAGATTCAAAAAGAATAATTGAAAAATAGTTAAAGTAACCATCAAGACCTATTCAACCCCCTCTATGTCTAGATCACAGACCTACATTAACTCTTTAATAGAGCCCAGGGTTATAGTGCTTATACTATTTGTCTTGTTTTTGAGTATCTTGGTTCCTGGTATGTGGCATAATAAATAAAGTTGCATATCTGGGTCCATAACCAATCAATGTGCTATCATAATCTGAAAATTTTGGTCTCCTGGCATATCAAGGGCCTTAATCTTGATTGTCATAATATTTTGTTCATGATAAATCTGGGAACAGTTAGTGGTAGCAAAGAGAATGCATCCTTTTAATTCAGAAAATTTGGCCCTCGTTGTGCAGGGCTAATTCATCTATATCAATTTCCCTTTGCGGCTTTTAAATTGGTATCAGTTCCATAAACCAGACATTTTAACAGATGGTTTATAGAAGTAGTGAAGAGTGTTCTCTTTTGACACAAGCAACTTGGCCCTTAGCCCCACATGCTCTGATTGTTCAATTTTACAATTTCTTTTCATGATGTCTAAGCTGGATTGGTTCTCTAACTTCACCATTACAATGCATGGAATAGGATAGAAATGACTGAGGCTTCACCACTTATTAAGTTTATAGCGCCTTTTATTTGCCTTTACATTGTGCTTTTGGTGTGTAGGCTGCTAGTGGACTCAATTATTTTACCATTTTACATTGTGATTTTGGTGTGCAGGCTGTTTAGTGGGTAATTATTTTGCCATTTTACATTGCTCTTTTGGTGTTTAGACTGTTAGTGGACAGGGAACAAGGTTCCATCTAGTTCTTTGGTAAGTTTTTTATTTATTAGTTCTTCGGTGAGTTGAGTGCCTTTCCTTCTTTCTTTCTTTCTTTCTTGTTCTTGCATTCTTAACAAGGTCGCAATCTCAATCTCTGTTTTTTTTTGGTCCTGTTCTGTTGATCCATATTCTTTGTAAATTCTTAATTCTGTAGAATGTCTCTCTCCGTACATGTCACTGTTTCCTATTTTTTTAATTAGAGTTCTTGAACCATGACATCCAGCCTAGTGTTAATGGTATTCTATTTATTTAGATCTTCTATATAATTGAGAGGTTTATTGATTTGGGTTGGTTCTTGCCTCTGGCCTAGTGAAGTGTCTCTTGAAATAGTTTAATTTAAGAACTCGTGTATTTTATCTGCAAAAAAAATTGAATATATTGTTTTATTTGTTGTTGTTATTATTTTGCTACAGAGATTTGGGTACTAGAGGTTTTTTGTGGATTTCTGTTGGATGATTGCATTATGTCTTGTGTGTATGGTTGAACTTTTGTCATTCATTTGGTTCGATTTGTAGATTGACAAGTGCTATACTTTTATGCATCAGAATTGGTTGTTATACTAGATTTTCTTCTCTTGCAGGCCGAAAGTGCTATTGCAGCTCTGAACTGTAGTGGTGCGGTGTTGGGATCATTGCCGATAAGGTTGGTTTTATGAACTTTTCAGTGTTCAAGCTGACCTTAAAAAACTAAATCAATCCCTCATTTATATGGTGAACTCTTCTGTGTCTAAGCTGACCTCATTTTTTTTGGTTTTGTTTTGTTTCTTTTTCTTCTAGTTTTCCTACTGTCTTGACAATCCATTTTTTGCATTTGCAGGGTCAGCCCATCGAAGACACCTGTTCGCCCACGCGCTCCTCGCCCATCAATGGACTGAGTCATCGTTGCATTTCTCTACACTGATGTTTTGCTGATAAATATATCTACCCCGCATACATGCATAGAACACAAGACATATCTTAAGGTACTTTGTGGCATATTTATAATTGTAGTTTTTGTTCATTGTAACGGTGCCCTGTATCTTCGCCACATATAGGAGTTTTATTTATGGCTTGTTTCTTTTTATTGTGTAGAGTTGGATGGAATTTCGAGAGGCTTAAGCTGGGCTTTATTTATGTTGCATGCTATGTTGGATTCTTTAGGGATTGTTCCTAGGTTTAACTAGTGTTCAAAATGTTTCTAACTCATCAAAATTCTCAAGTGTAGAATTGGATGGAATTTCCTATGTTGCATGTTATGTTGGATTCTGGCTTTATATATATATGTTACATGCTATGTTGGATTCTATTTCTATAGTCATGTATGGATGAAAATAGTTATGTTGCATGCTAAGTCACAAGGAAGAGCGTTAAAGCGGCAAAATTCAAGTCACACAGAGGGGATCGGGAGGGTACTTGGGGAGCGTAAGAGTGGGAGTGTGCGTGGTGCTTGTTGAGAGAATCATGTGACTTGGGCTCCTTTTGTTTTGATTTTCCTTTTTTCAGGTAATATATGTATATTTTATTTTTATTTTTATTTTTCAATATCTGGCAAAGGTCTAGGACTAGGTTGAGTCCATCGGGGCAAATGGAGCCAACAGCTACTACCCGCCAATAAAACTGAGGTATTAAGAGTAACTATACAGGAAAGAACTTGAGAGAAAAGGCTAATTACAAATTCATTGAACTGATTTCAATAAAATTGCTTATTATTGATATCAAACATATTACAACTTTCTATTTACATCTTAGATTTCTCCGAGGCATGATTTTGCATCCTTCCCAATTAGTACAAACTTTCATTGCGTTGACATTACTGAAAAAAATAGAAAAAACAAAAAGAGAACCCTAATAGTATCTCGAGCATGTGATCGTTCACCCAGTAAATCAAATCACTCAAACCCTTGCCATCTGAGTCAGTGATTTCTCCTGCATGGTCTGCAACACCCTTGCCATCGGAATCAGTGATGACTGTGATTTCTCCCTGATGGTCTGCAATCCCGTCATCATGCCTTGGATGTTGAATGGTCTCGAATGCTGGGTCGAAAAAATCCTCAACCCCGTGAACGGTGACAAATCCATCATTGTAGATGTTCCACTGGGTGATCTTGACTCCATTGATAGAAGCTTGTCCTCCACCCGGAAGCGTAGTGAGCACGAGTGGGTGGCCGGGAAGGAGAGTGTCGAATGTGGACCCGGAAGGAAGTAGTGATGACTGAAGAATCTGATTGTCAAGCTTTGTTGGTACGATATGATACCGAAGGAGTGATAAAGGAGGCTGTGAGAACTCGAGAGTGTTGAAAGCCTCGTCGCATGGGAAAAATATAGTGATTGGGGTGTCATGGTTAGGCAGCAAAGTAGGTAGTGTGATGGCAAGCGTCATTGACATGGCTGTGTAGCCTCTCTTTGAACCATAATCCGCCGCAACGGGTGGTGGCATGATTGAAACAAAACCAAGAAGAAGAAGTATGGTGAAGAGTACTTTGGAATCCATGAGAATAGAACTCAAAGGTTACTGCAAAAACGAATGGCTGTAGTAGAATGTAAGAAATTGAACTCAACAAACCCTAAGAAGTGCTCTTATCAAATATACAAAAGCTTTACCCAAGGATTATAATGCGTATACATTACGAACAGATTTAGTTGTGCAAGGATTATTATGCGTATACATTACGAACAGATTAACGTGAATATATATATATATGTATGTATATATATGTATAAACATGAATCTATGAGAAATTTTGTTACGAGGTCCGGGACTTAGTCCCGGCCAATCACAATGTAATAATTTCTTATATCTTTATGGAAAATCTCGTCTTGGTTTATTATACTTTTGGTGAAAAAAACGAACGGATAATGTGGGGTCAATTATATACACCGTGTATGCAGGTCCATGTGTCCAGGCCCAAGACCTATATTTTTATAAAACTTCCCAAGTTTTGATGGGCCCTTTCCAACCACATGTTGGTTCAAACTCTTATAGTTAGATTTCTCTCTTTTTCCATATATTTTCCAAAATTTCTCACCTAGTTTTGATGCTCAAAGATCAATTATGCATACATTAATCGTAATTGTATGTATATAATTTATAATTTATATGGTGTAACACAAATCCTATTCACTAGGGGCTGACGCATCTTGATTCCGAAGTTTAATAATTTCAGCCTAAATTAATAAGACTCTGAACAGAATCTATAGATTGATTGGTGGGAAGAGAGAATTTGGTGGCTGAATTAATTATTTTTACCTGAATTAGTTTCTTAGTTATATTTATTGATTTGATTACCTCTTTATTTTTATTTTTATTAATTTTTTATTTCAATTATTGGCTCTTCAACATGTTGTTTGCTTTGTAGTTTATACCACCATTGTCACACTATGAATCATGAATGAGGCTGTTGTAGAAAATGGTAGGCATAAGCACTTTGTTTTGTGAGATAATGGTATATCTATTCCAATAGATATTCAAGGGGGAAAAAAAAAAATTTCTGTTCCTGTATATGTATGTATAAACGTTCAAGAAAAGAGACAGAGAAGAGAAACAAATGGGCTTTGGGGTTTTTTCAGTTGAGAGAATCTTTAAGAGACGCAAACTAAGTAAAGGAGAGAGAGAGAGACGTGAAAAATGGAGAAGATGGCTGAGAATGAGATTTTACAAGGATGGGTAAAATATATACTTCCTCTGTTTCTTTTTAATTGTCTATCTCGTAGACTGTGACAGTTATAAAGGTATTTTAAACTTGAAAACTGTGTTCTGGTTATCAAATGTTCAATTGGACCAGGCCTAGAAAATAAAAGAAAGTATGAAGGGTGAATCTACATTGTAGATGCCCAGAGGTATCCCACAAAAAAAAAAAAGAAAAAAAGAAAAAAAAAAGCCATTTTCTCTCAATATAAACTACAGGTCAAGTATGCTCCCAAGTTGGGAATAGATTTTTTATCTTCTTGAGAGAGAAAAAAACTAATAGTAGAATATTGTACTCTACACATTCTCTCAGGGAGGGGTCTCCCGACAGCAAGAGCACCGGGTAGCCGTGTGCTCCATGAACCTGCAACACCCATGGCCTCCACTGCAAATTTTCAGCAACTGTTTTGACATAAACATAGAAAACAAGAAGTTTGCTATTTCACACCAAAACTGTAATGTTATCCCTCGGAGAATGGCCAGGGAGATACTGGTGAGAGACCAGAGTTATTTTTAAAACAATTGTCTGCTAATAAATTGGTGAGAAACAATTGTCTGCTAATAATAGAAAAGCTTGCATATATCTCTACAAAAAGGTGAGGTAGCAAGCTCCTAAAGACTACCCCTGGGCCAAAAAAAATGATGCTGTCATAAACGTTCAACGACTTGGATTCAGAACATCACGAAACACTAACGACTCCGGCTAATCAAATCCTCTTTAATCGCTTGACCAAAAAAATTGAGGGAATAATAATATGCCCTTCGGCGACTCAGTTTCCACCATATGATGCTCCAATGCAGCAGATTCTAAAGGTTGAAAGCTCCAGCCTATTGTGTACGGAATATTAGCCAGTTTCCTCGCACAACACCAAGCAAGACCCACTAGAGAGTTATGCAAAACTGCATTAGAATGAGAACAAGAGGTCAATGGATCTTCAAACCTAGTTTAAAGCATTTCTAAGAATGTACCTTAAGGAAACTACTAGTTTTACATGAACCGCCATCGAAGCAACAAGGGCTTGTAACGACAAATTATTGAATTCATGCTTTCTATTTCAGAGACATTTCCAAATTATTTCATCATCTATAAAGTACAATCTAAGGGAACCGTAAGAGAAATAACAAAAAATCGGTAGAATATACATCCAAGTATAAACCAGAAATTCAGTGGTACTGTGAGGTGCAATCATCATGGTTTTCATAGTGTGACAAGAAATATCGCTCAAACTATTTAGCTTCTGGTGGCCTCACAGGTTAGCACAAAATCCTCAACCATCCTCTACTGCTCCAAATTTCAGTCCTCGGGGTGGCAGATCTGCGAGAACCGCTCACCCCGAAATGACTTATGCTACCCCACTCCAAGCAACGGTCAATGCCAACATCTAAAACCACTCTAAAATCAAACTATATTATCGTGCATGTCCATGGGCCAATTAATATGAACATGAAGTATAGCTATAAACTGATTATTATGAATTCCCACAGCAGCTGCTTAAGGAATTGACAAAAAAAGAAAAAGAAAAAGTAATATATAAGCATAACTGAATTAAAATATCAATCTTACAGTAACATGACTGTTATTGAGTTTAACTATGCTTCAAATTAAAGATTAAGAAGATCTAGCATTGTTGGAGTTGCACAAACAATTACTCAGTTAAATGCATACATAATTAATAAAATTTATATTAATGCTGTCTAAGCATTTTGTAACAACATTGAATAAATACTTACCAAAAATATTGAATTAAGATCGCAACAACCAAAAAAAAAAAAAATTTCATAAAGACCTAATTCAAAAAGGCGGTCGTGTGAGAATTAAAAAAACAGGGGATCTGTAAGCCACTTCAGTTGGGGAGTAGAGATTTTACAACTGATATGTTCCACTCTTGCCTTCATAATCATGACCATGTTATTTTGCAAGGTCCAATTTTTCTTCATATAGTTTCAACAACTGAGGAGCTTCCTCATAACAGGTCACAAACTTCTCGAGGAACACACTCTCTGTGGACTCCAACAATGTCACTCTACTAATGGGTTTCTTAATCAAACCTTTCGACAACAAAACTTGTAGTACTGAATACCTGGGAATAATCCTCTTACCCAAGCTCAATGCCATTAATTTTGGACGACTGGCAATTAGGGAAGACTTCCAACTCATTGTGTTGACATAAAAATTCAGAACCGCCATTATCTTCTCCTCTGATGTCAACATACAACCCGGATGTGTTGTAAAAGCCAACATTGTTTCTTCCTCAGACCAACCCCACTTCTCATAAACCTTCATTTTCCTTTTCCATTCTGATTTGCCCATTAAATTCAATGCGTGAACCGTTGTAACAAACTGGTATTTTGAAGGGTTGAAACCCATTTTCTTAACATCCTCCACTACCTCATTGAATCTTTCAGTTTTTATGCTAAGTGAATTAGTCCAAGCAGTAAGTAAGAACACAATATTCGAATCTGGCACACCTTGTTGTCTCAAAATTTCAATGTTGGAGAATGTATTAGCACTATGATAGTGCTCTACAATCATAGGAAATCGTTTAAAGGCCGTGATAAACTTATCATCTGAATGAAATAAATTGATGAACAAATTGAAACATAGGATGATATGGTTCTCCAAACTTCGTGTCAATAAAAGTGGGCGAGTGGATACTATCTTGGCGAGCTTAGTGCTGGAAATGCCAGTGGAGTAAAAGAACTCGAATTTGGACAAAAAGGTTTTCTTAGGATCCGATAAGAGAAATTTTGGGCGTTTTCTGATGACAGCCGAGATCTGGATTTTGCTGAATCCATGGTTCGTGAAGAAGTTTAGAACTGAATCTGGGTTGTCTAGGGTTTTAAAATTGACTTTTTTGGAAGCAGAAATAGCAATTTCTGGACTAAACCCACATGAATTTATGAGGTATTTTACAGTAAATGAGTATTGATTTGAGGAAGTTGAGATGGATTTGAGAGATGAAGACAGTTTATGGATTGTTGAATCTAAAAGAGAAGAACATCTAAAACGAACTACCAGTGTTTTGCTGTATGTATAAATCATTGGAGATTAAATGTGATAGACACTGTTAAAGAGGAACTCACCTGATCTAATCGTTAATCTTGGGTGTTCTTAAACCAGGAATATCCACTACTCCTACCCTTTCTTTAGGGTGCGTTTGGATAAGCAGGAGAGAAAAGAAAAGAAATGATAGTATTAGTTAGGAGAGAAAAGAAAAAAAAGAAGAAAGGATAGCAATAATTTCTATTTATGTTTGGATAGATAGAAAAGAAAGTATAGTATTCTTGTTTAGATATGATAGAGAGTAGAAAAAAAGAGAAATGATAATAATGAAATTATTATCATATCCTTTAAAATAGATGGGATATGAGTGGAATAATAATTTCTTCCTTTTAATTGTTGAGGGTAGTTTCAGAATTATTAAAATACTACTTAAACACTATCCTTTCTCTCCCTATCTTCTCATTTTTGGAGAGATAGAAAAGAAAGGATAGGGAGGAATAGCTATCCCTCCCTATCCTTTCTTTTATCTTATTTTAACCTACCCAAACACAATTTACACTATCCTTTCTTTTCTTTTCTCTCACTATCCCTCCAAATCTCTCAATCCAAACATACCCTTAGAGTCGTGATGATGAATTGAAGCGAAGGTTTAAGACCTAAAACCGAAGAAGTGCAATTAACAGACAATAAACAACGACATTTGACTTACTATATTTCACAACTCCTGAATTATTCCACCTGGTCAATTTTAAAACCCTAGATAACCCAGATTCAGTTCTCAACTTCTTCACGAACCATGGATTCAGCAAAACCTAGATATCGGCTGTCATCAGAAAACGCCCAAAACTTCTCTTATCGGATCCTAAGAAAACCTTTTTGTCCAAATTCAAGTTCTTTTAGTACTGAGCCAAAACCTATTAAACTGTTCAAACTTACCCATTATAATTAGGGTTAATTATAATGACACCCCTACGGTTGACTGTACTGACAGCTATATACAAGTTGTACCTTTTTTAAATAATAAGACCTCCTTAGTTTGGATAAAGTTAATAAAGACACCCCAATTGATCACTACCACATTTGATACATAATAAAATGACATTTTTGCCCTTTGACTTATGTGTTGACTTATATAAATAATGAAATTACTTTTTTAACCCTAATACAATATTTATATAATAATAATAAATAAATAAAATACCAAACCAAAAAAAATATATCAAACCTGTTAAAAATGGGTATGAATGTCAAACCAATAATTTTGTATATATATATTGATATATCATCACCCACCATCACCACTGAGTTCAAAACCCAAATCAATATATATATATATATATATATATGCCTTCAAGATCGTCCAGGCACGACTTCAACGGTGCTGCGGCAGAGGTAGCATCGACACCACCGCAACCTTCACGGTCTGAAGAAGCGTGGCGAAGGCACCGTGGCAATGGCTTCAATGGTTCCAACGAGGGTTACGCTTATTTGTTCGGCCGTAGATTCGGTCAATAAGGTTCCCCTCCCGCTGACCTGTCGATCGAGGGATCAAAAGGGCTCACAGCCTCAGTGTATGTATATATGTACTGATGGTGTTTAATTGGTTTAGGTGCGACGACGATGGCTTCGTGGCCGGTTGAGAATCAACGATCGGTGAGGCATCAAGATCTATGATAATCGGCGATTCACTGAGATCTCTTTCGACGTCGTTCTTACCCAAAACATATAATCGAGCTTGTTAATGGATCGTATAACTGATGACATGATCTGGTGGAACGAAGTCGGATCAACCATGGATAAGGTGAGAGGAACAAGAGAGAATGTGGTGAGGTGTACTATTGGTTATAAAGGCAAATATACTATTTAAGAGTTTTGATATTTTACATTTAAATTTAATAAAATATTGAAGGGCAATCTTGACTTTTCACCTCTTTTAAAGGGCTGTTTGGATCAAATTTCTAACTAGGGGTGTCATTGTTCAAAAAAATATGTAACTTGTACATGATTGTCATTATAGCAAAACTTAGGGGATGTCATTGTAATTAACCCTTATAATTAAATTATTTGGGGATTCAATTTGAATGAGTGGGTTATTAATAGGTAAATAAATACTTATCTATACAATTAATGAGTGAATAATGGGTACCCAACTTAACCCACTCGTTCTGCCTACTATCTGAATTTGGGAATTTTTTTTATTATTTTATTTCTTATTTTTTAGAACACATGTATCGACCCCATAACACATGCACTATTCAATTCAGGAGTGCGATTCGAAAGCGAGACATCAAGGACTTACCTACTAGATCCCTGTCAATGCCACTATACCCCTGAGGGCGAATTTGGGAAGTTTCTATTTTGCACATAAACTTTATCATTATTGAACTAATTTAAAGATTACACGAAGTTGAGAGACAATTTTGTTTTAGTATTTAATCTTATATTTTATCATTTCTTGTTTATTTTTTTTATATGTTTTAATTTATTTTGTATGTGTGTGTGTATATATATATATATGGGTACATTACACTGACCTCTATTGACGTTTTGTCAAATTACATTGAGATGGTGCGTTTGAGACTTATTATTTTTACCTCCCCTAAATGTTAAATGTGTGTGTAAGAAGTCAATTATGCCCTCTATATTTTAATACTATGTAATGAAATAATTTTATATGAGAAATTACTATTTTGTCCAACATTTATTAAAATCATTATTTTTTGTTAAGAAGGTTTAAAAAAAAAAAATTTAATTTCTCTCTCCTCTCTCGGCGTTTCTCAATCTCAATATCTTTCACACATACATGCATATATATATATATATGTGTGTGTGTGTGTGTGTGTGTGTGTGTGTGTGTGTGTATGTATGTATGTATGTATATGCACAAGGATTTTCAGATCCGTAAGGGACTTAGTGACGATGCCAATGATGGTGCGCGATGGTGATGGTGCCGACGATGATTATTATAATGCCTATGATGACATGCATTACCACCGCGCCAACAATATATATATATATATATAAATTATGTATTTGAAAAGAAAATCCTTAGAATGCTCATCCATCATCAATTTGGGTTTTGTTCACAAGTTGGGTAATAAATAGATTTCAACTGTTGAAACCCACCATGATTGTAAATTGTGGCTGTGTGGATATTTATGGAGAATATATATATATATATATATATATATATATAATTCACCACCTATTTGCATTTGGGGATTTGGTTCATAATAGGCAGTAGTTTCACAATCGTTCATATTATGTGTCATTTTCTGTTTGCTATCTGAATTTTTTAGTTGTTTTTTTAAAGTGCAAGGACTTGATTTCAGTTTGTCATTTTGAGAAAAAAAAAAATTGAAATTTTGTTTGTCATTTTGAATTTGCTTTTTCAATATCACACATTTGTCATCTCTTCATAACAAACGAATCCTTTTGCGCGGAAAAAACACAAAAGGGGTTGAAACGGGTTGACCCGCCCATTTGAGCCTTGACCAATTCGTGACCCGCCCATTTAATACCCGCCCAAACCCACCCAATTGCCACCCCTACTAGGTAGACCTTTCAATGGATTGGATTTGGATCTCAATTCAATTCAAATTCTATCTGATAACTCGGATATGGATTGAAGATTTAATCCGATAACCCGTTAACGATCCGAATCCGATAATCCGTTAGCTAATTAAACAAATCGAATTTGGATTATGGTCATTCTGATCCGGATAACAATCCGATCTGAAATAATATATTATATAATATATTAACACATATAATCTAATTTTATGATATATAATATTTTTTATATTATAAAAAATTCTTATCATTATTTTCTCATCTCTTTCTTTACTCTCTCTATATTTTCTTATTCCCAAGTTTTTATTCTTTAACAATGAGTAAAATATCAAATTTTTTTTTTTTTATATTTTATTTATCTATGTTTTTTATTATTTTTATTCCCTTTCGACATTAATTTTTTTTTACAAAAAAAAAATAATAATAATAATAATTTATACACACACACCCTTATTGGATTAGACCGGATTATTGGATTGGATATCCATTTATTAACAAATCAAATATGGATTGATTCAAAAAAATTTCATCGAATTATCGGATTGGATCGAGTATATCCTTATCGATCGAATTCGAATAGGATCAGCACTGATCCGGTCTGGATCCGACTCGTTTACAAGTCTAGTATTAAGCCCATGTCTATTTGCAATGATTTTAAATGAAATAATAAAAGAATTTCAAAATGAGATTCTATAATACATTATAAAAGCATATGGTACATCTACAGAGAACTTTTAGTAATAAACTAGAAATGTGGTGGAGAAATACTTTAGAAGTGAAAGTATTGAGAATTAGTCAAAGTAAAACAACTATTTAATATTGAGTATATGGAGTGTAAATTTAATAAAGATTTTAATATTCATAATATATATATAATGTTAGCACTTTAAAATCAAAGACTTACTCAAAACAACTATTTAATTTCGGTATGTACAATCAATAATACAGAAGAGTGGAAAGATAGATAACGATGTAACTAGTTGAATTAATGGAGTTGCTTGGACAAAACGGAGCTAAGTTGATATTTTATGTGATAAAAGAATTACGTAGTAACATATGGGCAAAAAGAAAAATTTTATAGAACCGCGCGCGTTATTAGACTTACTATGTTGCATGGCGGGAAGTGTTAGAACCTAAAAATGAAATAGGAACATCACCTTCGTGTAGCGGAAATGTGAAGGTTAAGATAGACGAGTGGAGTGACTAGAAGAGATAAGGTTGATCATTAATTATATTGTGAGAGGAAAATTAGGTGTAGAGTACCCATTGGTGAGAAAAATGGGGAGACTAGACTTAGAAGGTTTGGATACATTCATCAAAGACCTAGTGAAGCGTCAATCAAATGAGAAAAATATTAGTCACCCCATTCAGGAATATATATATATATTCGTCGTAATAAAAAGTAAGAGACGGCGGCCAAAAATGACTTGGGATGAGGTTATTAAAATAAATTAAAAAAATTAAAT